GCCAACCAAGTAAACCATTTTTCCATACCTAACACAGTGCAATAAACAAAGTCCAATTCTTCTTATCTGAGTCTCAAGATCCACCTCACTAAAGCACCACATTAAATTCACAACTGTGAAGGGTGCGCAACATTACCGATTAAAATAAACAATATTTAGTATTCTTCAGGAAGGAGGATCCTAAGAATTGCAGGTATGATTATTTTCCACTGAACATGCACCATTATCACACATAAAGAAGCTTGTTAAACCAATATTTTTTTTAGTTTTTGATAACAAGAGCCATTATAATATATTCAGAAAGGAAATGAATAGTACCATCTCCTTATCTGATCGTTTCCAGAACAGCAAGACATCTCTAGCTAGTTTTCGAGTGCGAATGGGTGCACTCTTCATGAATTTAAGTGATCTACTCGCTTTCATTCTGACCTGAAAGAGAAGAATATCCATACAAGTAAAATATCAGATCACGGGGCTTAGAGTTAAAACTTGATTGATTGATGATGCATGTCAGAAACCAAGCCATAACAAAACAGATGAAATATGTGCAAATGGTAGGAGACAGAGCATGCCTCTCTTTGGCAGTTCTCTGAGAACCTCTTGGCATCAGCAAGTTGCTTTCGATGGAAACCAGTAAAAAATCTATAGTGCTTTGGTATCTCTCTTCTTACAATATTTACCCAGACTTTTCCAATTCTTTCCATTTCCTCCTTCTCAATCAAAGAAGGGTCTTTCTTTACCTTTTGCTTCTTAGGTAGGCTTCTTTCAATGATCTGCAGCAATGAAGAAATAAGGATCAAAAGAGGGGGAGCAGGAATCGAAGAGCAAGGTCTCCGATAATATTATAATGCCCATGCATACCTCATACGCGTCACCTTTCTCTAAAACCTTCACATAATAAACCTGCAATACACCACCCTCGGATAAAATAGATCGCTTAATATTTCCAGCAGCTCCCTCTGGGATGGAAGAATTCAAACCAATGTCAGATACTTTCAGACTAAATTGATGAGGTGAATTAGAAGCTGACATGGCCTTCAATCGTGCCTGAAGTGAATCATATTGAGGTAAGGTTTCCCCCATGCCTGCTCGGTTTCTAGTTCCACCCCTCTTATCAGAAGCCATCATTGCCGCCAAGGACCCCAAATCCAAGGTACCCTTTAAGTGAAATTCCTCAACTAGGATATCCGAGAAACTTGGAAGGTTCATCATTGCTGCTAACTGATCATAAGTAGGAGGAATTTTGTAAGTAACGCCATCTCCAATATCTAACGAAGCTGGTTCATAGATAGTTCTGCGATTAAAAGAAAATGATGGTGGTGATGATGTTATGCAACATTAAGTCATAAATAACATTGCATATTCCAAATGCTCCAACACTAGTACACTACTCAGTCAACAGGGAAGGAAAAAACAAACCTATCAGATCCATATTGCGGTCTGAATTCTGCATCACGGTAGTTTACAGGTTTCTGAGGATTAATATCATTAGGCCACTCAGATGTTGTCTCCAGAGCATGTATTCCTCTTCGGTGCTCATTCAACAACTTTCGCGCTTTCAAACCTGTGTTACTTTTAAGAAGGTGAGCACTAACACGATTTTGGGCAGGACTGGATGAGGTATCTTTATACCTCCTCTTGTATTTTTGCATATGTTCCCCAAGCATTGATCGGTATCGCTCCTCAGTCATGTGCGTGCCGCAAAAATTACCCCTGTCTTCGTCGTCACTGTTTTGAGACAACTTCCTTTTCTTCAGCAAATTTACCTCACTCATACTCCCATTACTGTGATTTCGATCGATTGCCCCACCTATTCATGTGGAAGTATTCCAAAAATACAGGGTACAAATATACATGAGTTAAAGCTCTGGTTCTCCAAAATTCATTCGCCAGCTATCCAGGGGAGAAAACTTACAGAATAGAACTATCATTTGCGTGCATAAAATCCAAATACGTAAAAAATCTTTGAAGACCAACAAAAAGAAAAAAAGCAACACCCCTACCTTGGCTATCTCCGCTCTCATCCTGACTACTAGTCCCATAATAATCAAAATCATCGTCTTGTTGTGGAAGTTGAAAATTCATTAAAGACTACAAAACAATGCAACAAGAGAAGACAAAAAATAAAGAGCCGTTATAATATTTGGCGGGAAAATAAGTTTTAGGAAGTATAAAAAGCTAACAACAATTTGAATTGAGTATGCAAAACTCTAGCATCCCACACCAAAAGCGGTAAAAATAAAATAAGATAAACAAGTTTGGAGACAAGATGCAGGAATATAAAACCTCTAGTTTGAAGAAAGCAGTTCAGCAAACAGAAGCATAGAACATAATAATTAACTTGGTGTAAAGTACGAAAGCTACGAGAGAATGGGGAAGGCAAGAGTGGCAAACCTCGAGGTTAAAAAGACTAGAGTACGAGAGCGAGTCCTTGGATTTCCTTCTGTGATCCATGGGGTATGACGCGATTACAATGTGATGATAACCTTGACCGGAGAAACCCTAATTCTGTGGAAAGTCATGAAGGAAGAGAGGTCCGCAGAAGGAGGAAGGGAAGCTCCCCAGTAGCCCTAAAAGGAGTACTGTTGCGATCGGTACCTGAAAAGAGAGAAAGGAGGAATAGAAAAGTCGAGAAAGAAGGAAGGAAACAGAGACAAGGTCAAGTTCGGAGAGAGGAAATCAAATTCTACTCGTTGCATAAGGCTGAGGCCGCAGCCCAACATTACAAGGGACGTGCATGCGTAAAATTCATGCAATAACGGAAAATCCATGGAAAAGACGAGAAGGGTATTAAAGTTCCCGTACAAAGACTCAAATGCCCTTAGTTACAATTTATTGTCTCATCAAGAGGGAGAGAAGAGTCGACGAGGACGCAGGCGGTCCCCCCGTATCAACGTGTGCTAACGTCCACCCGATGGGTGACATTTTCTTAAAGCGCGCTGCGACTGGTGGTTTGAAATTTCACGAGAAATACTAGCACACTCCAATCGAGACGAATTAAAATGGAACGACTCAGATTATTTAATCCTGCCTGTTTAATAGATTTGAACACTTCTCTGGGAAGGCTACGGGCGTGTTTAAAGAGGAGAGATGAAGGCTGGGTGATTGGTAGACAAGATAAAAGTTCACAGTAAGACTTCAACATGTTTTATCTTTCATATTTATTTTTTACTAGTCCTTCTAATAATTACACGTGTTAAAAATTTTATCAAATAGTAACTCTAATTAATATACATGATTAGTAAGGATATTCTAGAAAGATACTCCCTCCGTTCCTTATTATAAGAGACAAATAACCAAATTACGTTGATAAAAAAAACAGTTAAAATTAGTTGAGGACAATTAATGTGTAAAAAGTATAATATTTTTCCAACAATGCCCCTATTAATAAAGAGAGAGAGTATGATAGAGAACAATTACATTATTAAAAGAAAGAGAAGTTGGAGGGAGAGAAAGTATGAGTTGGAGACAAAATAAATAGGGGTAAAATAAGAAATCAATATAAAAAATAGAGACAACTTTTAAGTGTCTCTTATATATAGGAACATGCCATAAGCATCAAATGTTTCTTATAATAAGGAACGGAGGGAGTAATACCTATTTATTATAAATAACTAACTTTATTAATCTACTTAAATTAGTCAACTAAAATTTTGCATTAAAGATAGTATTTTAAAAGAGACATTTTAGAAGTGGATATTTTCTAATTAGATTACATCTTTTAAATTTTCCTTTTAATTAAATGACTGCCTGGCAAGATTGATATAAAGGCCAAGCTCATAATGGGTTTGGGCTTAACTGAATGGTGGCCCAATTCCATTGTTTCAGCCCGATTGCATTGGATGGGAGAATGGATTGAGTTTGCTTGATCATTGTGAGTGAAAAACTTATGTACTTCCCCAGGTCCATACCTGTCAATATCCTGCCCTTTCTGACATCCTATCTCCAATTGTCCCTTGTTTAGTTCCTGCAAAAAAAACCACTTGAGCCTTTGGCAATCCAAGCCCAATATTCTTCATGGATCATGCCCCTGCCCCTGCTACTTGATGGATTGATGTTTGTTGGGCCACTTCATCTCCTTTAAAGCTTTCCTAGTGCCATCTCTTTTTTCTTTTTTTTCCGAAAGAAAAAACCAGATGAACAAAATACCAAAGCAGATGAAACTTTAAGTTATGCCCTAAAAGGGAAAAAAAATACATCGAAGGAAATAAGCTTAAAGGAAAGAAACTGGGAATTATAAAGAAGAGCCAGACGTGTGATTGATGTTCATGAGCAGCTATATTACATCCTGTTACTATCCCAAACAAGCCGTTATATATTCCTAGAAACAAATCGTGCATTGCATTGACAACGAATGCTTTGCCCCTCACAAGTCTCGATGATTTTCAATCAGACTGGCACGGTCGTTATTTAAAAGCTGTAAAAGGCCAGACGGGATCATGGAAAAGGACATTATGGCAATCGCTTTTGCAAGAAGACAACTAGGAAGTTATTTTGAACTCGGCATTAGATCACTTACTAGTTAATAATTAATAATAATTACAAATTACTTGTCAGTTTATAAGTCACTTTTAGTTATTAAGAAAAATTTTGAATTTTATCAACTGTCATTTAAGATTTAATAATTTTTTAATTTTATCTCTATTTAATATATATTATACTTTATATAAATTAAATCAATACAATTATAAATGAAGTATAAAATTATATATCCATCTAAAAAAAATTTCACTGTCTTATAAATATAAATAGCATTAGAGGAGTATATCTAATGTAATGCAATCTGTTTTCTTCGAGAAATGTCATTTTAATTTGATTTCATGATCTTATTCTGACATGCACGGACATTAGAACGATTCTCAAGGTCTCATATAACGTATGAAACCATCAGTTAATATCAGACACTGTTTTTTTTTTTTTAAATATAAATAAAAGAGCTTGGTTAGTTTACATGGACAGACCCTCAGTGAGGCATCTGGCAAACAAAATAGAATGAGAAGATAAGTGCTCTCCAAAAGCAGAAACACGGCGATACAATCCAAGGACGCAGAAATATCAGACATAGAACAGGAGAAAGAAAGATGAGAGCTCAAACAGAGAGGGGCAGCCCGATGATGGCGAACCCTCGAAGAATCGTTTATTTAAACAGTCAATCTTCCGATAACCCCTTCCAGATCCGACCGTCTTTTCTCGCATCTCTCCTCCAGTTCCTTCAGAAGCCTCACTCTCTTCCATTCCTTCTCAGCATTTTTCTCTTCCTCACTTGGATCTCTATCCGCTTTCAGCGCGTTTCCCAATTCTCAACTCCACCCGTCGGAACTGCCGCAGATTGGAGCGTCGATGACGATATGAAGGCCAATTTGGTTAGGTTCAGCTCTGGGATTCCTTCCCAAATTGCTAAAGACAAGCGGGGCTGGTTGCTCGATCCCCTTTCTCTCGCCCTTGCTTCTGGCATTTCTGGTATATTACGCACTGCTTTCTTCCGTGTGTTGTCTTTTTTTCGGTTCTTAGTTTTTCGATATGGACGTTTGTGTTGCAATGATCACCCCACTTCTTCACTGTGCACTCTAGCTTCATTTGGAGATTGGCTCCCTTTTGTTCCAAAAAGCTGATATGCACTGAAGTTACGTACTCCAGATAGAACGAAATTTAATTTCAACGAACTGTATATTTGCTTCGCTCTTAACTGATTAGGCGGGAAAAAGAAAAGGCACATAGTGCGCGGGGTTTCATATGCAAAAAGAAAATATGTGTTTGTGTTCTTTTCTGGCATTTGAAAAAGAAAAATTCTTCTTTGCAGGTGGAGCTGTCTCTTGCGCTTCAGTTCATGTTGGAGAAATACGTCCTGGCAAAATAAGAGGAAATCACAGACATCACAATTGCAACGAGACATTTGTCATTTGGGGTGCTGCAACAAAATTTAGGGTAAGCTCCCGTGTCGTAGTTGCCAGTTGGTGGCATATAATTGGTTTGGTTATGTGTTTCCCTGCATGTAAGATTTTATTGAGAAATAGCTTTCAGTCCAAAATGCCTGCAAAGTGATATGTATGATAGTATGATACAGTAGTACAGATAATAAACATGCTCCGCTTTTCAAATTACTGCTCTTTCCCTATCTAAGTGTTAGTATCAGGTCTACTCAACTTTCTATTTAGTTGCTAAACATATTCATGTTTATTTCTTTGTTTAAACGACTCGTCCTGATTCTGAAAATCATAAATTGGTTGAAAATCTCAAATTTCTTTCTGGTTTTATGTAAAATCAAGTGGTGAAACGAAAAGAATAAATGCCGACTTGTTTGCACCACATTTTGTTCATTCTCTTTTTGGTTGAATGCACAAGCCCCTAATGTGAAAAACAAGGTTTGTGAATGCAGATTCTCTGCACCCTGGAATGGAACTGCTTGCCACCTCAGAAGATCCTTGTCGTTTGCCTGATCCTACGACAACATTTACGTCACACGTTTGAGAGACTGAAATTCAACACCATCATGAATAAAATGTGTTTTCGCCTTTATTCTTTGATAGAAATGATCCCAGCCGTTCATTCTAAATCCTAAAATGCACAAACCTTCTACATTTTGTTTCCCTCCAGCAAATGCTCAGTTGTGTCCGAGTCTGAGACCCAAAAATGCAGCTCTGTTCCACTAAGGCACAAAATTTTCAGTTGTCCGTTGGTTGAATATTCATGTCTGAGGTTCAACCCTTTGCTGATTCAAGCCATTCGATTGTACACAGGAGGGGGCATTCACCATTCCTCAAAGGGAATTGCACCGAGACATAATTGAAACCAAGGCTTGAGTGTTTTAATGGATTTAAATTAAACAATCCGGATAATCCCATGAATTGATAGTTGCAATTGGCCCATTTAAATCTGAGAATAGTTGAGGCATAATGCATCACTTTACTCCTGCTGAAACAGTGCAATTCAGCTTCTCAGGCATGTGGTGTCAGCACTGTCACAGGCAAAATAGATGGGATCACTATGAGGTGCGCAGCAAATAGTCTCGTTCTGAGGTGCAGAGAATTTGCATTCTAAGATTTGGAGATGTTAAAGGAAATGCTTATTTGTGCTCCTTTCCCTGCGCCCGGCCGTCAGTACTTTGAACTAACCTGATCAGCTCACACTGAAATGATTAGTTCATATGCATCAACTTGGCACTACTAATTGATCAGAATTGAGAAAAACTGATTTCACGTTTCTCTTCTGTTGTGACCCTCGATTTGTATATCAATTTAATCTATAAGACTTGAGAATTATTTGTAGTTGGAGAACAACAAGGTAGCTGACAAGGGCTTTGCCGAAGTGATTATTGGCGCCGATGAGGTTGCTGTTGCTGCCAGCCCCCGTAGGACAGCCCATGCATTAGTGAACATGGATCCGATTAAGAGTACATTCTTTTTAGGATGCCAAGACAGTGTAATCAACTACAATGGCACAAATAATGACTACAACGTTTGGCAAGATCTTTAAAAATGCTGCTGTACAGATTTTCCCATCCCTTCACTGCTGAAGGAATCTGAAATACATCTGAGCCAGGGTATGACAATTTTTAAGCATCTATGTACATATTTGTTTCATTGCATACTCACTTGATATATGTAGTTCTTCCGTTTTTTTGTTTTTTTTTGGATACACTGTAGTTCTTCGTTAATGAGAAAGAATAAATGAAAAGGAAGAAAACAAGAAATTAAAGTGATAGACGTGTTTCTGTTCTGCCTAGCACATCGCAGGAAATTTTCTTCTCTCTGCCACAAGTTGCCAAAGACGTGGTTAGAAGATTTTCATTCTACGGGTGATGACCCCCAGCTACATAACTTGTTATTCATGTGGCCGTTATCCGCGACCATGTAAATTGTAGACATCATGTTGGTTCCTTTCTATGATTTTGCACGGGAATAAGTTCTCTAGATTTAATTCTGAATTCATAGCCATTGTTGTTCTTTGCCCCGGTTGATTTTTTAATGAATTTGGAGCCCGCCTGCCTTAATCACTCTTTTGATTGATTTTTAAATGGAGATTTTCAAGTCAGCACATTCATTGATCACCAAGCGTCGTGCCAAGCGTGGTGATCAGTGAAAACAGAACACATTCTATATTTGCCCCTTTTGAAACATTTTGACGTGCTCGATACATTTGAAATGCACACATCCTAATTCGTCACGTATCTTCTCTATTTGCTAATTCATTCTTATTTTTAAATTTACTAAATGGAACACGAATAATGGATGGTTGGATGACACGTGGGATCATCAGTGCACAATACTGTATGAGAATTGTATTTGCTTGCACGTCATTGGAAAATTATATATGTCAATACCATCTTTTAAAGAAAAGATCGTTGATATAAGTTTGTGTCTAAGCTTCAATGTTCTAAATCATCCACTTATTATTTGACAGGAGAAAACAAAATATATTATAATACGATTGATGGGCAAGAGACCCGTACAACGTTTGAAGCTGTTGACGAATGGATAAGAGTCACAATTTCAAACTCCCATAGAAAGCAACAATTAAGAACATGCTTGTACGGGATTCTGAAGGCTTTCATTCTGCTTTTGACTTGCAAGTTCTTTAATCAATAAAGACGAACATCACCAAAATCGACTATCATAAATGCAAATTAAAATGTCGAGCCAGATGCGTAAGCTGTGACATAAAACCCTACTCTTTAATTATTGGTCGCTGAAGCCTTCATGGATTTTTTAATGGATTTAAATTAAGCAATCGGGATAATCCCATGAATTGATAGTTGCAATTGGTCCATTTAAATCTAAGAATAGTTGAGGCATAATGCATCACTTTACTCCTCCTGGAACAGTGCAATTCAGCTTCTCAGGCATGTGGTGTCAGCACTGTCACGGGCAAATAAGTGGGATCTCTATGAGGTGTGCGGCAATAGTTTCGTTCTGAGGAGCCGAGAATTTGCATTCTAAGGTTTGCAGATGTTAAAGGAAATGCTTATCTGTGCTCATTCCCTGCGCCCGACCGTCAGTACTTTGAACTAACCTGATCAGCTCATACCGAAATGATTAATTCATATGCATCAACTTGGCACTATTAATTGATCAGAATTGAGAAAAACTGATTTGACGTTTCGCTTCTGTTGTGACCCTCGATTTGTATATCAATTTAATCTATAAGACTTGAGAACTATTTGCAGTTGGAGAACAAGAAGGTAGCTGACAAGGGCTTTGCCGAAGTGATTATTGGCGCAGATGAGGTTGCTGTTGCTGCCAGCTCCAGTAGGACAGCCCATGCATTAGTGAACATAGATCCGATTAAGAGTACATTCTTTTTAGGATGCCAAGACAGTGTAATCACCTACAATGGCACAAGTAATGACTACAACGTTTGGCAAGATCTTTAAAATTGCTGCTGTACAGATTTTCCCATCCCTTCGCTGCTGAAGGAATCTGAAATAGATCTGAGCCTTCCTGTTTTTAGGTTATTCTTTTGCAGGGTATGACAATTTTTAAGCATCTATGTACAGATTTGTTTCATTGCATACTCACTTGATGAATGTAGTTCTTCGTTTTTTTTTTCCCCTGATACACTGTAGTTCTTCGTTAATGAGAGAGAATAAATGAAAAGGAAGAAAACAAGAAATTAAAGTGATAGACCTGTTTTCTGTTCTGCCGAGCATATATATTACAGGAAATTTTCTTCTCTCTGCCACAAGTTGCCAAAGACGTGGTTAGAAGATTTTCATTCTACGGGTCATGACCCCCAGCCATGTAACTTGTTATTCCTGTGGCCATTATCCGCGACCACGTACATTGTAGACATCATGTTGGTTCCTTTCTATGATTTTGCATGGGAGTGAGTTCTCTAGATTTAATTCTGAATTCATAGCCATTGTTGTTCTTTACCCCTGTTTCTTCTGTACACAGTTTACTGATGCTTAGAGAGAAAATTGGGAATACGTTCCATCAGTTGATTTTTTAATGAATTTTGAGCCCACCTGCCTTAATCACCCTTTAATTGATTTTTAGATGGAGATTTTCAAGTCAGCACATTCATTGATCGCCAAGCGTGCTGATCAATGAAAACAGAAGACATTTTATATTTGCCCCTTTTGAACATTTTGACGTGCTCGATACATTTGAAGTACACACATCCTAATTCGTCACGTATCTTCTCGATTTGCTAATTCATTCTTATTTTTAAATATACTAAATGAAACACGAAGAATGGATGGTTGGATGACCTGGGGGGTAAGCAATGCACAACGCTGTATGAGAATTGTATTTGCTTGCACGTTGGTGGAAAATTATACTACATTACATTTTTAATATAAAAGCTAACTGTTTAATATAAAATTTAATTGATTAATTTGAGTAAATTAAAGAAGTTTAATAAACCAGTTATTTGTAATAAATATGTATTTTTTTTCTAGAATATCCTTGCTAATTATATGTATTAGCTATAATTATCTTTTGATAAAATTTTTAATATGTGTAACTACTATAATGACTATTTTGAAAAAATAAATTTAGGATCTATATGTAAAACTAAATTAAATATTAAATTAGCTCCCTCATGTTAAGGATGGGAGCTAGCATATGTCAATACCATCTTTTAAACAAAAGATCGCTGAAGTTTGTGTCTAAGCTTCAATGTTCTAAATCATCCGCTTGTTATTTGACAAAGGAAAACAAATATTTTATAATACGATTGATCGACGAGAGACCCGTACAGCGTTTAAAGTGGTTGACGAATGGATAAGAGTCACAATCTCAAAACTCCCATAGAAAGCAACAATTAAGAACATGCTTGTACGGGATTCTGAAGGCTTTCATTCTGCTTTTGACTTGCATGTTCTGCAATCAATAAAAATGAACATCACCAAAATCGACTATCATAAATGCAAATTAAAAATGTCGAGCCAGACGCGTAAGCTGTGGCATGAAACCCTACTCTTTAATTATTGGTCGCTGAAGCCTTCATGGATTTCTTATGACAATGAAAATGCTTAAATCAATGTCCAATCATCTAACTTCCCTCACTTGAACGCCAATAAAAAATGCACACAAGGGTTACTTGTATGAAATCCAAAGCAAAACAAGTCGGCCTCCACATATAAAAGCTGTAGCCAATGAAGAGTCCACCATCATTCACCAGCATATTATTCCAAATCCAACCTGCAAAACAAGACAGCATTAAAGAATGGAAGGAATTAGAAGGAAGAGGTTGGCTGTATTGGTCGGGTGCAACTACCCCAACACTCCAAATGAACTGCGTGGCTGCATAAACGATGTGTTGGCCATGCGAGACACTCTGATCAAGAGATTTGGGTTCGCTCCCTCCAATATTGAGTTACTCACTGATGAAGTTAATGCTCCTTCAGGTTCAACCATGCCCACTGGAGCTAACATCAAGCAGGCTCTTTCTCGCATGGTTGATCAAGCTCAACCAGGGGATGTCCTCTACTTTCACTATAGTGGACACGGAACCAGAATCCCCTCCATGAAACCTGCCTTCCCCTTTCGCCACGAAGAAGCCATCATCCCCTGTGATTTCAATCTCATCACTGGTTCGTTTTCTTCACTTTTAGCCACCTTATTAATGTGGAAATAGAATAGAATTGAAGTTGACACAATTCTTAATGTGCAGATTTGGACTTGAGGCAATTGGTGAACCGGGTGCCCAAAGGAGCGAGTCTGACGATTCTGTCGGACTCGTGCCATAGTGGAGGGCTGATTGACAAAGAGAAGGAACAAATAGGGCCATCTTCAGCTGTCCAAAACGAGACCACAATGAACCTTAACTCCAAACCTAAGACCATCCCCTTCTCCGACGTATTACAACAACTCGCGTCCTTAACAAACATAAGCAGCTCCGACGTGGGAACCCACTTGTTGGAGTTCTTCGGATCCGAAGCCAGTTTGAGGTTCAGGGCGCCATTTCTGGAGCGTGATTTGTTCCCGCCTTTGAAGCCCGACGAGGGGATTCTGCTCAGTGGGTGCCAGGCAGACGAAACCTCTGCCGACATGGACCCCGCCGTCACCGGCGGAAAGGCCTACGGAGCATTCAGCAACGCCGTTCAGATGGTGCTCAAGGATGATCCAGCTCCGTTGAGTAATAGGGAGGTTGTTGTAAGGGCGAGGAAGATCCTTCGGTCCAGAGGCTTCGTGCAACATCCTTGTCTCTATTGCAGCGACGAGAATGCTGATGCTAGTTTCCTGAGCCAACAGCCTCAGGCTTCTGCGTTGTGACTTTATGACGCATGAAACACGTCCACGTTGTTCTCGATGCAAAAGTTAACCGTGGCTGCGTATTATATCCTGTGCAATGGGTTGGATGTTATGAAATAAACGTAAAAATGGCATTCGTTGATTCTAATGTTATTCCAGGACCAGATCCGACTCATAAAAGTATTTTTGCTTTCCTCACGACCCATCATGGTAAAAACAATTCTTTGCTGTGCCTCCTTTAGTCTTTTAATTTTAAATAACATCAACCAGGTTTATTTTTAAATTTTTATATACACACATATTAATCCATATGCTATCTCTTGTCCTTAATATAAAAATTAGTTGACAAATTTAAGTAGGTTAAGAAAGTTTGTTATTATTTGTAATAATTAGGTGTTGTCTTTCTTAAAATACCGTTGCAAATCATGTATTAGCTAAAACTACTATTTGATTGAATTTTTAACCTGTGTAACTACAAGAAAAACTATTTTGAAAAAAACAGAAAAATATGAGAGACAAAATAAATTGGGTTCTTATATTTAAAATCAAATTAAAAATTAAAATAGTTCTTATATTAAATACGAGAGATAGTATAACATAGAATGTGTGCTTACGAATACACTCGTGTATCGTAAAGTATGGACTAGCAATTTAATTAGATCAGCATAAGAAGCAATTCTTCATGTCACAAGAGAATACATTTGGCTTGGACCCTTTTCTATATATACTACCTCCGGTCCTTAATATAAGACCCTATTTGACTTTTAGTTTGGTCCTAATTATAAGACCCCAATCCATTTTGTCTCTCATATTTATGCATTTTTTCCCAAGATAGTCCTTCTAATAATGATAGTTCTAGCCAACACACTTAATTAGCAAGGATATTTTAGGAATGACAACACTTATTTGTTACAAATAACTAACTTAACTTACTTCCTTAATCTCCTCAAATTAGTCAACTGGGTCTTATAATTAGGACCGGAGGTAGTATTTTTTAATCACAACGCATACATGTATCCTACTCTTTATAGAAAATTCAAATTCACAACATCCTGCTTAAAAAAAATTTAATAGAGATACTTAGTATCATTAAGCCTTATTAAGGCCCAAACAAGGAGCATTTTGCTTATTACAAAGAAAATGCATTTGTATTTGTGTAGGGTGGATAATCAAATAATCCACGACTCACGTCGTGAGTATATTTGGGCCAATGAGATTAAAATTTATGATATCTTTCTCACACAAAGACAAAATTGAAGTATTTATATATTATTTTTTTGTGCCAGCAGGAATATTTATTTATCATTATTAATTATAATCATGTAAGGACCCCAGCGCATTGACAGAAAATAATAGATAAAGGCCGGAATCAATGTTTCTTTTTTCCCCCAAACAGAAGGATCCCCAGCGACCTTATTAGCTTTTCCTTTTTTGAACTTCGTATCAGGGGTCGATGCCTTGAAATCTAAGTAACGCTTTAACGGAGATCATGGAACAAGATAGGGAGATCACACACTATAATATAGATTGATATATTATTAATATTATTAATTATTAATGGGTGCACTGAAAAGGACAAAACCCCACTTTAATCTACTCGTCAATCTTAGGATCCAATTATCTGTACATAATCACGCACGGATTAGCTCTTGATCGCACCCATGTCCTTAATTAAGCAAAACAGTAGATTAATCAATAAATTGGAATTTACCACTATTTGAAGTAAAACAAAACTACAGTGGGGAAAAAAAAAAGAGTATAATAAAGAATGCATCATAATGAGCATCATGCATTGCACGGCATGTTCCTCTCTTTCTTTCTTTTTTTGAACTTTTCCTGGTGGAAACAGGCTAGGCGGCCTGTCAGGGCCTATGGCCTGGCCTGTTTTCCAAAAAAAAGGGCTCTGGCCTGTTTGAAGGCCTCTTTAGTTAAACAGACTAGGTTTAGGCTTTTTAAAAAGCCTGTTAAGCCTGTTAAATCTGCCTGGGCCTGTCAGGAAATTATAATCATAATATATGAAAAAATTAATTAATGCTATTATTGTTAATGTGCTCTTTTAATTTATTTTTTAATTTTAATATATAATTAATAGCTTAATCTTTTCTTAGATTTTGAAGTTTAGATGACAAGTGAAGATAAAAATATAATTTAAAATAATAATATCAATAAATAATGTGATTTTTAAATCTTAAAAATATAAAGAAAATAGGAAAGAAAAATTTTGTTCCAAGAATGATAAATTAACTAACTTACGTATTATGTTAATTTAAGTATGATACCCTCTTTATTCATTATAAAATTAGTATTGTTTTCCTCTTTATTTATTTGTCTTAATTTTAATTTTTTGTGTGTACTTAAACGTAGTCTTATTCCAAATTTTAACATATAATTACAATTAGTTTTCAATAATATTCTTATAAATTATAATTAAGATTTAAAATAGTACTTATGATACTAAAATTTAAATAAAAGACAAGACTAAAAATTAAATTATTATATACGTTTTTTTTATCTTAGCTTTTTTTAAAAATTAATTATTATAATTTGAATTTTTTAAAATACAGGCCTTTTAACAGGCTTCAGGCCAGGCTCAGACTGAAAAGTAAGCCTGTAACAGGCCACAAGCCAGGCTCAGGCCAATAGACTCCAAAACAGGCCTGGCCTGTTAAGAGCAAAGCCTGACCTGTTTCCACCCTTAGTGTTGTGTACGGCACATTCACAGCTCGTTCCGTATTGATCCCAACTTAATTACTCCCTCTTACTGTTAAATTAGTGCTTGCCCCTAACTATTAGATTTAACCCAATTACTAATCACAGATGGCTAAAAAGGATTCCCAGGGTTTATTTCCCTGTGTCTTTTACGGAGTCCAAGTAAAAGAGATTTACTTATATTATCGCATACATACTAAACTTACGAATAATACACATCATTCCACGTGCAATTTGCTTTTCTATAATTGATTAACATTCTTCTCCTCTCTCTCTCTCTCTCTCTCTCTCTGTTCCCCCCCCCCCCACTTTTTCCTGTCCATCCACCTCTAACCGTTACCTTTACTCCACTGTAGTAGTTAATATTATTGTTATTTATGAGTAAATTATATTACGTTCCTCTAGTTCTTAATGTGAGATTTAATTAGAAAATTGATGTTGATCTTACATGTGAGTTTTACTTCACAAATTTATCAATTTTTTTCAAATTAATCATATTAATATTTCTCCAATAATAATCAAGCAGGGGGAAGGGAATTAAAAAAATTACTTGAGATATTTTAGAAAAAATATATTATGTTAACTAATTTAACTAATATCTTTAATCTACTATAATTAATTAATTTAATGTTACATTAATCACGGAAAGAGTAGTCAAATTACATAAATATAAATTTGTTCTAAATATTTTTTCGGAATTTGAATTTTACTAAAAGTGCACACCCTTTTTATTTTCAAAATTGAACTTTTAAACAACATATAATACATACACTACAGATAAATTCAAATTTATTTGCAAACTATTTTCATGAAAATACCTTCCACCTTATTTACATGGAAAATTGACAAGTTCTTTACTAAGAAACGAAAATTAAAATTTCCGTTAATAAAAAAAATATATACTCCTCCGGTCCTAATTATAAGACCCAATTGACTTATTTGAGGAAATTAAGGAAGTAAGTTAAGTTGGTTATTTATAATAAATAAGTGTTGTCATTCTTAAAATATCCTTGCTAATTAAGTATATTGGCTAAAACTATCATTATTAGAAGGATTATCTTGGAAAAAAATGCATAAATATAAGAGACAAAATGGATTGGGTCTTATAATTAGGACCAAATAAAAAGTCAAATTGGGTCTTATAATAAGGACCGGAGGAGTACATAAGTACAAAAAATTTTAAAAATATGATTCAGTCTATGAAACCAAGAAGATAAAATGACGGTCAGTATCAAATGTAAAATTTTGAATAATTAGCCTTATCTACAATTCATAAAATAATGCACTTCCTTAACTAAACCAAAAAAAAAAAATCATGAGTGAGATTCATACAAAATTTCAGATTAAATAATAAAAATTTTCTATAATTTAAACAAAACAAAAGCCAAATTCGGGGAAGGGCCATTTAACCTTAAAAAAATGAAAATGAAAACAGAATAACTAGGCGTTTTTCTCCAGCTTTTCTCGCTGCCTTCGTCATCAGCGTACACAGAAGCGCACTACCGGAGAGAGCAATGAAGAGACAGCATAGCATGGTCTCATCGTCGTCACGCCGAGAAAATGCGCCGGAGAAGATTCAATCCAAAACGATTGGCTGCATGTCCGGCATCATTCACCTTGTCTGCAAGTCTCACTCCCGCAGATTCCTCACCTTCGGTAATAGATTTATCAGTCATGCTGTTAAAATTCTGCTTGGTTACTGAGGAAACATATACTAGCTTGAATTTTGGACTTTGGATTTATTAACATTATAGCATGCAATTCTCCTTCTGCATTTGCAGGAAAGAAGCAGATTAAGAATGACAGTTTTTTTCCCGCAAAAGCAGAGCTTCCAAAACAAACTCCCGTGAAAGAAGGAGAAAACTTCAAAGAGGATAAACCCAATGTTTGTTACAATCCTAGTTTGTCACGTGAAGCACCAAGGAGCCCCACCCTTCCGGCGGATATTCGCCGTTCAAATCCGGCGAAAACACCTGAGAACTTCCGAACTCCGCCGGCACTGGTGGCGAGGCTGATGGGATTGGACGAGGGCCCGACGGCGGCCGAGAAGCCAGAATCCGTGGCGGAGAAAAGAGAAAGGCTTTTGAATGCACTGCAGAAATGCGACGAGGATCTGAAGGCACTAAAGAAGATCATTGAGGCCGTACGATCAGCAGATCAGCAACGGACACCCTCGACGGAGGTGATATCAAAAAACGTGAGTTGCTTTGGGGATAAAATTAGAACAGTAACGGAGGTTACTTGTTCGGAGCAGCAACCAAGTCCAGTGTCTGTGCTCGACGAGTTGACTCGGTCCCCTGTGAGTTTCAGGAATTACTCGCAACAACAGTCACATTCAAGTGGTACGTTCGCTTTTTTATTAATCTAATTTCATTAACTTTCGTCTCCTTCCGCATCCTGGTTCATTTGCATTATAATTGAAGATAAATTCTACAAATTGCAAAATCAGAAGACAGTGCAGAAGTTTTTATGCGCCAATGAAGCTAGACTAATATGTTGTAACCAGAATTAATTTGGTTTTGAGAATGCGGCGAATCAGATGAAATTGTTCATTAAAGCTTTTCCTTCAAGCCTTCAAACTTGCTAGATTTTAGGAGTTCTGAGAATTCATAAAATGCTTGCGACGATTCTCTCTGATCATTGATCTAATATAAACTCTTTGTTGAGTGATCTTTTTCAATTCTTCATGGCTATATACACATCTCTCTCTCTCTCTCTCTCTGTTTTTTTTTTAAATAAATGCATAAAATTTTCTTTAGTAGTCAAAGATTCCAGGTTTTTTTCCCAACAAATTGTCTATCATATTGCCTCTTTTTTTCCTCTTTTGTTAACCGATCCGTTGAAACTGAGTTATCAACTTGCTGATTGTCCATTTCCCCTTAGTGGTTAGGATTTGACTAGAAAGAAGGATAAGGACTAAAAATTATCCAGCTGCAAGGCTTGAAAATATAAATCATCATTATTTTCTCACTTTGAATTTGGATTGACACAGACAGGTCAATGTTTTGATACTTCGTGATATTATTAATTCTTGTTGTTTTTGAATCTTTTCATTTCAGCCGTATCCGGTTTGAAGAACAAACATCCTTCTAAATTTTTATATAGTTCCAACATGTTTTATGATAATACCTATTTATTTAAAATCTGTCTGGTTGTCATGTACTGATGGAAAAGTCAGACGTTTTTTTTTGGGGTTGGTTCGAAGAATGTAATTGTCATCATCCTAAAAGAATATTTACTAATCTCCAAGCTGCAAAGATACAAAGTTGCAATTTATGCTGACCCTTTGGAAGGGTTTATGCAGATAATTAACTTACTCATGGAGAGGGAACACAATGGTCCTTCGTGAAAAAGCACATGCTTCCTTATCCATGATGTTTAGGATTCCAAATTTACAATCATAACTTCTTGTGTTCCACACCATCTTCACCATCATGACTGGGGACAAATTAATTCCTTTTTGCCGCTGCAATTATATTGCGGCCAATATAAGTGACTCACAGCTAGCAAGCTGCTATAATGAAAACAGTCTCAGAATATCACTAGTAACGTTAGTAATCCTTTACTTTTATCGAGTGATTGATCTATAGTTGGCCATCACTTTACATAGAAAAAATAATAATTTAACAGTGAACCCAAAATTACTAGGAAGAAGACAAAATACATATAGGATTAACCCCTTTATATATATATATATATATATATATATATGTTGCTTGCTAGAAACCAAAAGAGAAGCCCAAATGAACGTTTTTCATAAAAAAGAAAACTTGTCGACTTTAGTGGGTGGGATGATGGACCACCGTCTGTACGCACAGGGGGCTAATATATTATTAGGAGGAGACAGTCAAAAGATGTTCAAAAAGAAAAAGAAGAGAGGCCACACAGTGACACTCTCACGCACCCCTCTGGCCGCTTTACCTGGCAACCTTCTTCACTTTTTACAGTGCCTTGCTCATTTCGACCCCCCACCACTTAGCTTTATACCTGCTTCTCTTGCCTTCCCTGCAAATCCACCCATGGATCTTCTGGCTTCAACAACACCTTGTCTGTGCTTAGTCTTGTTGGGAAAATAGCTGTCATTATGTCCAACTAATGTCCTCTAGCACGCTGTACATTACTATAATCTGTCCACTTCAACTTCAAAACACACACACACACGTCAAAGAAAATAAAAGAATTTTTTATTTTACATGTTCTTGTCAAGGGAAAGATACCATGTGATTGGTTTAAGTAGGCATGCATTTGATGATTGGCCTGTTAATAAGATAATTACTGAAAATTTTATATATCATTGGATAAAGATGAAGTGTGATGTGCACAGGGCGAGTGCAACAGCAGAAGATACAGGTGCAAAAGAAGCCAGGAGAGGAAAACACGTGTTTCTATGAGAGAATTGCGACAAGTGAGTTGGTACATAAGAAGGTGAAGGATGATGAGGAAGAAGAGGAGTCGGTGATGTGGAGCAGGAGAGCAATGAAAGAGAGCGTAGAGGAAGTGTGTAGGGACATCGCATGGGGAGAGAAGCGAGAGATTGGGAGAATAGGTTTGGCTTTGCATGATCATATTTGCAGGGATTTGATTGATGAAATTGTTCGAGATTTGGGATTTTGTTGCTTTAATGCTCTTCCCTTCGAGGCCTGTAAGAGAAGACTCGCTTTCTGATCATTGATAACTTTTTGTGTTCCTTTCCATTATACCATCAATTAGAATCACACTAGGTGTAATTTTGTGTCTATATGGGCGTGTACACTTGAAATTTTATCCACATAATTTATGCTCTTCTTTGAAGTGTGAGACCTAATTGGAGACCGGCCGCATGAAATTTGGCTGTGGCTGATAATTGTGGACCGTATAAACTTAATTAATAGATATATATGATATGTTACAATAGGGTATTCTATCTAACTCATCACTTTCAGGATTGGAAAATATGGGTGCAATGACTTTTGCAGTAGTAAATGTTACAAAAAGTACAACCCGATTAAAATAATTTAACTAAATTTCCAATTTCTAGAGCGAGTCATGGAAAATGACTTTTTATGCTATCAAGGGTCTAATAAGGTTAATATTTATGAGACAAAAAGTAAAGCCTTGTATCATTTTTCCATTTTAACGGGTAAATGCTAACTAGAGCGGGTTAAGCAAGTCAATCCTAATGATGACCGATCATTTTTCCCACAAGCAATGATAGATTATTGGTACCAAGAACTTGCAGCAGAATTTCCATTAAAAAAAAGTACGGATGTGCAAACTGTCATAGCTTTGCAAGGTTGGATCGAAGATAAAAATAATTGTAATGTCAGTCTTGATTTGTGCTGTGTTGCTTAAAAAAAGGAGATGTTTGTGGAAATGTGACTCTGAATTCACCTTTTTTTTTTTGTTTTTTAAATAGTTCTTACCCAAAGGTATCCCTTCCCAAATTTAATAGGAACTTATCCTTCACCTATTAATATTATAGGATAGCGGAAATGGTTTAATAAATTTACTTTTCTATGGACAAAGACGAATACTGAAAGCCAAAATAGAAAAAAAAATTATGTAACATAAAATTTGAAAATTTCTTAATATATTTTCAAAATGATATAAAATGATCCACATCAAATTATCAAGTAACAAAATAAAAAGGATGCGTGAAAGAATAAACTTTACCAAGTTTTGCATGCTCGGCAACATACCTCAATAAATCTACGGAGCTTCTAAATCAATGATTGAATACTGAGGTGGAATAGCAAGCTTTTATTATCATAGATTCTGAAATTAACCAAGACATGACATTTCAAGACTAAATTTTAAAATATGATTTATTAAATTATAATGTTCGAGACAATATATCACTTTTATTTTAATGTTTGAAATTTGTTTTGATTTGAACTCTATTGCATTTCCTTTTAAATATTTGCAATCTGAATTTTGATCGTTCATTTTTTTTTTTTAAAAGAACTTGTTTCAATTAAATGTGTTTCGGGCTTGCATACAACACAACAAAACCCTCTGGAAGCTAGTTGGGTTTGGGCCCCATGTTCCAAAAAAAAAACCTCTCGATCCAGATCTCACCCTCCGTCCCTCGCCGCTCTGCAGACCCCAGTTCATCGTTGACGACTGTGCGCCGTTGAGCGACAGACCTTGCAGAGCTCTCTCCCTTAGTCGCCGCTTCCTCTTTTGCGTGTTTCGAGTCTCTGCAGGTCCCTCTGCCCCGCTACTCTCTGCTTTCTCTTCTCAAGTCGCCGAGTGCTTCAAGCCACTCACTGATTCGGAATTATCTCATTCAGTCGAAATACTCTTCCTACTTGTCGGTTCTCAGCGCCATCCACTGCTTCCAGATTCTAGGCTAGACTGTCGCTACTAGGGGGCTGTATCAGTTTTAGTTTCTGTTTCAGGCGAAGTTCGAGATGTGGAGGTCGGCTTTTGCAAGACAAGCCTTTCAGAACCTCAATGCTTCCAGAACCCGAATCCCTAAGGTGATGGCGGCTCTCTCTAACTCAGTTGATATAGTTCAATCTTCTCATTTATCTGCACGGTACCTTCGATTCTTTTCCCAGCATTCAGCTGAACACTCTCAATTTGAAAAGCAAATCACTGATTCTGCCAAGGAGGGGTTCGTGCATGAGGTTCCATTTCATTTTTCTGAGGGTATTGATGAACATGATGGTGCTCAGATGGGCAATGATGCCCCTTTGGATAATGAGCCTCCCGAGGAATCTCTTGAAGAAACCGTGGGTTTGCATATGGACATTTCTACTTCTGGTTTTGACCAGCACAGGGAAGAGGAGGGGAAAGAAGAGGTTTACGAGATCGATCAGGAGAAGTTGGAGAATGTGTTGTCTCTTCTTCAGAGTAGTCCTAATACGTCCCTTGAGTCATGTCTTAGCGACATGGATTTAATTCTACATGAGAGATTCGTGATCAAAGTACTCCAAACACAGCTAATTGCTGGTGACAATCTCATCAGATTTTTCAGGTGGGCTTGGAAAGACAAATCGTTTAAGGTCACCACCACTGCTGTGGAATCTCTTGTTTTGGCTGTATGCTCTTCTCTTAGGAAGAAGGAGATATATTCCCTGTGGGATTTAATTAAGGATATCAGCGTGAAAGAGGATGGGGTGTTGAATGTGGAAATTCTCAATAAATTGATAGCTACCTTCTCAAAATTGGGCAAAGGGAAAGCTGCGTTTGACGTCTTCAATAGTTTTGGGGAACTCGGGTGTGTGCCAAATGCAGACACCTATTACTTCACTGTCGAAGCTCTTTGCAGGCGATCATTTTTTGGTTGGGCTTGGTCTGTGTGTCAAAAAATGCTTGATGCTAACAGCTTGCCTACTGGTGGTGAGAAAGTTGGTAAGATTATATCTTGGTTTTGCAAGGGGAGAAATGCTAAAGCTGCCCATACAGTATATGTTGCAGCAAGAGAAGAAAAGATGCACATTCCGACATCTTCTATTAATTTTTTGATTGGTCAACTTTGTCAAGAAAATGAAACTGTACAATTAGCTTTGGAGATGTTAGAGGACGGTATTGGAGAAGATAAGAAATATGCAGTAAAGCCATATTCAGCTGTTGTTCAGGCCCTATGCAGAATCAAAGATGTTGATGTGGCCAAGCAACTGGTCTTAAGAATGGTTGCAGAAGGTCCACCCCCTGGGAATGCTGTTTTCAATTATGTTATTACAGGATATTCCAAAATTGGGAAAATGGAACAGGCATTGGAGATGATGAAACTAATGCAAACTAGAGGCTTAAGACCAGATGTATATACTTATACTGTTCTTATAAGTGCCTATGTAAATGGTGGTGAGATCGAACAAGCTCAGAAAGTCTTCACAGAAGCCAAAAAGAAGTATTCAGAGTTGAGCCCTGTAACTTACCATACTCTAATACGGGGATATTGCAAACTAGAGAAGTTTGATAAGGCTTTGGAGTTATTGGCAGAGATGAAGAACTTTGGTGTCCGTCCAACTGTTGATGAATATGAAAAGTTGATTCAGTCTTTTTGCTTGAAGGCTTTGGATTGGCAAATGGCAGAGAAGCTCCTTGAGGAAATGAAAGAGAATGGCTTATATCTCAAGGGTATCACTAGGGCCCTAATTACGGCAGTGAAGGAAATGGAGAAAGAGGTTGTGGAGAACCAAAAAGATAGTTTAGTGGCTTAAAATTCCTGCTGGCTTCGGGAGGTGGCATGAACCTAATATGAAAGGCCTGAGGCGTGTGTTTCTTTTCCATTTTTTGCTGCTTTCTAACACCTAGTTACTATTTTAATTCTCTTCCGATCTAAAGGCAAAATTACTGGTAGGATGTCAACTTAAGCTTTGATGGTTGTAATGTGAGGTTGGTGTCTTTAATATTTAATAATGCAGTTCTGCTTAGCTATGTTATAGGGTTTTCCCTTACAGTATTGTCATTGGCATTCTGTTTACAACGTTAGTATTAATCTTGGGATGCCCTGCTAAACTTTCTTTTCTTCTCTTTGCTTGGAGTGGGGAAATATTGATCACCCAATTTTTTCGTGAGTCCCTGAACACACAAAGGAATGAAACAAGTAAAAGAGAAATGTGTGAATAGAAAACTGAATGACTGTTTTAATGAAGTGATTATTTAGATTCTATACTATATCTTTGTTTCATGTGTAGGCTTTCTGTTAAGTCATGATTGCTGCCTCACCAATATGTAAAAAAAAGTTATTGTTACATTTGGTTTTGATTGTAATTGGAGCTCAAGATGGATATGTTTTGGGGATTAATGGTTGTTACTAAAAAGGTTACCATGGCATCTCAGATATGCTGATCATCTTATGCTAGTTTCATTATTAGGTATATGAAACTGCAGTGTTCATTAGCTGCATTTATGCAGGCTAGTTGTGAAAATTCTGTAGGAGGAAGTAAAAGTTGCTGCTGCATTGCAATCCAAATTTCGTCAAGCTTTGGTTGCTGGGTGTCTATCTTAGGTGCTAAGTGAAATCCCACTATGAGCTAATTATTTATTGTGCTTTTAGCAATTACATTGTTCAATTGTGTGAACATTTTAATTCAGATATCAATGATTAAGCAACACTTGAAGATATATGCTGCTGTGGATATGCAGCTTTCTTGAAATAAAAGTGGCAAGTAAATGAACTTAGCGGCTAACCCGATTGTTCCTTGTGGACTCATAGGTTGGAGTCCGTTCAATGACACAGTCGCATACAAAATAAAAGTGGAGGACAAGGATTTGGAGCCAAGTAAAAAGAAGCGGGCAGAGTGATCACTGGTCAGACCAGAAAGTTCGGTTCTGATGTCTTCCCAAAATATTTTCGGACCGGAGGTTTGACTGGGGGTGCAAAACTCAACGGGAGCACCTGTAAATATATTTTCTCGTTAATAGTTTGTCTATTTTCATTTTTGTCATTTGGAGAGATTTTTTTTTGGGCAAAGTGAAGAAAATAAATTATTCAGTCATTTGTAACCAAGAAAAAAGAAATGGACGGGACGGGACACTAAATTAACTGACTGAGGCCGTAATTTAAGAGTTAGTAGAAGTAAGGGAGGATTACAAGATCCCAAAAGAATAAAATAACTACTCAAAAGCTCCATTGACAAGTTAAGAATTGTTATCTCTTATTTTAGAGCTTATCACTGTAAGCAGTTTAGTTGTAATTTAGACTTTTTGTAATTATGTTTTTTTTAGAATTTTATTACAATTCTCTCAAATAATATAATTTGATTTAATAATAACTAATAACAAAATATAAGGAAATACAATAAAATTGAAAGAAACTTTAAATCTGGTTAACTTTACCTTAGAATTTAATGTTTTTAATTTATTCTTATTTAATATATATTCAGAAAAGATAAAAACTCCGCCTATGTTGTATAGCCGGTTCCAAGCCCGGATAAAGAAGGAGGGTTGTGTTAGGCCCTCGACAGCCAACGTAAAAACCCGTCGAATCTCATGAACATGAATCAACGAAGTAATTATGCTAATGTTAGGTCGTTGCCCAGATGTGACGCGCTGTATGGCTCGAGTACAGTGAGAAATGAGCTAGAGTCGCTGCATCGTCGCCCGGATGTAGTGTTAAATGAGCAAGGGCTACCGCACTCTCTTGGACGGAGGCGGCTAAAGAAGTTAGTTCATGAGACTGAGATTAGATTTGGCACTTGGAATATTGGGACGTTAAATGAGAAATCTATGGAAGTAGCAGGAGTTATGAGGGACATAAGGATTAATATCTTATGCCTTCAAGAAACCAAATGGACTGGAGAAGCTGCCAAGGAACTTGGAGAGTATAAACTTTGGTACACAGGAAAGGTGAGCACAAGGAATGGGGTTGGTATCATCGCTGATGGGACATGGAAAAAAACGTGGTAGAGGTTAAAAGGTTTGAGGACAGAATATTATCGTTAAGAGTAATTGTTGGAAAGGATACTATCAATATTATTAGTGCCTATGCATCTCAGGTTGGGGCAGAGACACACCTTAAAGATAAGTTTTGGGAAGATATGGAGGGCTTGGTTCAAAGCATACCACTCGAGGAAAAAAATTTTATCGGTGGGGACCTTAATGGACATGTTGGTAAAGAAGCAGGACAATTCAGCGGGGCCCATGGTGGTTTTGGTTTTGGGGAGCTTAACAGTGGAGGACAATCTATTCTCGATTTTTCTCTTGCATACGATCTTAAGATTGTCAACACTTGTTTTAAGAAGCGAGAGGAGCATTTAATCACGTACAAAAGTGGTGTCTCAAAATCAGATTGATTTCTTTTTGGTTAAGAATCCGGACAGAAGATTGTGTACTAATTGCAAAGTGATTCCAGGAGACGGGGTGAGTGCCCAACATAGAGTACTTATCCTTGATGTATGTTTTAAGAGTACCAGGCAAAAGTATCATCAAGTGGCAAAACCCAGGATTAAGTGGTGGCAGTTAAAAGGAGAGAAGCGGGAGTTATTCAAAAGGACTCTTTTGAAGGAAGGGAATTGGGAGTTGCAGGGAAATGCAAACATGATGTGGGAAGAGATAGCTACAAGGGTTCGTTTGGTAGCTAAAGCAATTTTGGGAGAATCCAAAGGCCCTGGTCAAAGAGATAAGGAGACTTGGTGGTGGAATAAGAGTGTGCAAGAGAAAGTCAAACAGAAAAAAGATTGTTTTAAGGCCATACACTTGTGCAATAGTGTAGAAAACCAGGAAAAGTATCAGTTGGCTAAAAAAGAGACAAAGAGAGCAGTGAGCGAAGCACGTACTAAAGCTTATGAAGGGTTTTATCAGGAGTTAGGAACAAAGACGGGAGAAAGAAATATTTACAAGATCGCGAAGCAAAGGGAGAGGAAAAAGAGAGATCTGGACCAAGTAAAGTGTATAAAGGATGAAGATGGTAAAGTGTTAGTTACTGATGGTGATATTAAGGACAGATGGGAGGCTTACTTTTACAAGTTGTTTAATGAGGGAAGCAATTATGCGACTCAGGACTTGCAGAACTTGCTAATTAACGAAGATGATCGGAATTTGGCTTTCTACCGCAGGATACGTATCGGAGAGGTTAAGGCGGCTCTCAAGAAAATGGACAATGGAAAAGCCGTTGGGCCTAATGGTATCCCTATTGAAGTTTGGAAATGTTTGGGCAATGAGGGGGAGGTGTGGCTAACCAAACTTTTTAATGAAATTCTACGCTCTAAAAATATGCCGGATGAGTGGAGGAAAAGCATTTTAGTTCCTATTTACAAGAATAAAGGAGACATTCAAAACTGTGCAAGCTACAGGGGGATAAAATTATGAGTCATACAATGAAGTTGTGGGAAAAAGTGATGGAATATAGATTGAGGTTGGAGACTTCTATTTCGGAAAACCAATTTGGATTTATGCCAGGGAGATCCACATCGGAAGCAATCTATTTACTAAGGGGTTAATGGAGAGATATAGAAGTAAAAGAAGAGATTTACATATGGTTTTTATTGACCTGGAAAAGGCTTATGATCGTGTGCCAAGAGAAGTATTGTGGAAGGCTTTAGAAAAGAAAGGTGTACGGGTTGCGTATATCAAAGTCATACAAGATATGTATGAGGCGGTAACTACCAGTGTAAGGACGCCTGGGGGCGAGACAAAGGACTTTCCTATTAAGATTGGCCTACATCAGGGATCCTCTCTGAGTCCGTACTTATTCAACATTGTTCTGGATGTTCTAACTAAACCTGTTCAAGAAAGAATCCCTAAGTCCATGCTCTTCGCGGATGATATAGTTCTTATGGCGGAATCAAAAGAAGAGATTAACACTAGTTTGGAGTTATGGAGAAGGACTTTGGAGTCGAAAGGTTTCCGTTTGAGCAGGAACAAAACAGAATATATGCATTGTGATTTTGGAGGGAGGCAAGGTAATAGGGATTTGGAGGTGAGGATGGGAGAGCAAATTATTCCTCAAGTATCAAAGTTTAAATACCTAGGATCCATTATACAGGAGGATGGGAAATTGATGGAGACATTTCTCATAGAATACAAGCTGGCTGGTTAAAGTGGAGGAAAGCTACCGGAGTTATTTGCGATAAGAAGGTACCTGAGAAACTTAAAGGAAAATTTTATCGGACTGCTATAAGACCAGCTATGATGTATGGTAGTGAATGTTGGGCAATAAAGGGAAAACAAGAGCACAAAGTCGGAGTAGCAGAAATGAGGATGTTGAGATGGATGTGTGGTCATACAAGAAAAGATAGGATTCGAAATGAAAAGATCAGGACAAGAGTCGGTGTGGCACCTATCCAAGAGAAAATGGTTGAAAATCGCTTAAGATGGTTTGGACATGTGCAGAGAAGGCCTTTGGAGGCCCCGGTGAGGAGGGTGGATCAAACAAGATGGAGTCCCATAAAAAGAGGCAGGGGAAGACCGAGAAGAACGCTGAATGAGGTCATTGAACGAGACCTCCTAATCAACAACATATCTAAGGATTGGGTTGTTGACAGAGCACGATGGCGTCGTGTGATTCATGTAGCCGATCCCACCTAGTGGGATAAGGCTTGTTGTTTGTTTGTATTCAGAAAAGATAAAATAATTCCTTCGCGATAAAAAAATCATATGGTGAGTACGGAGAAGTTGACGTGGCAGCAAAAATGGCCACCATGAGCGAAGGCCTCCGCGTCCAAACCGCGTAACCGGGTCGCACTAGGCGTCGACAAAGACCCCCTAATTAATTAAAACGAACAAAAGCCACCAACCAATCAAGAAAGACGATCATCCAAATCCTTGAATTACTCTTCACCGGCTTGTCTCTATTTTTAGTAATCCCAAATCCTCTCGATTTTTAATGCGTGCTTGTCCTTAGGGTCCTTATCCCCTGCGTCCACTTCCCATCTGTCATCTCATGTTTGGGTGGGTATCACCATCTATCAGCTCTTCTACGTGGGCGATTGACGCAACTGCCCAGTGACACCATTCGGATTTCGGACAGGATCCTTATCCTCCATTCCTGTGCAGCCTCCATCTGATCTCTTCACCATATCCGTGCCTTGGGGAAACACCACTGCGCATACCTAAAATACCCCTCTCGCATCAACAAATAGTTATTAAAGTTTTAAATTATCTAAACTCCTTGCTAAATCATATGCCCTTCTGTCTTTGGGCAAAAAAAACAAAAAAAAGTTATATACTTCTTTTATTTTATTTGTAAATCAATTTTAATGTAATTCTTTAAAGCTAAAAAAAATTTGAAAGCATTAAACAATATTCTTTCTATTTGTTGATTTGTAAAAAATTAATTTAAAAGACATCCTATTACTCCTGTATTTAAAAAAGAAAATAAAATAATTATATAGAACTAAATGAAGACTTTGGTATTTTAATTTTATGTTATCTATTCAAGCGAGAATTACAATAAACTCCGAGGATACGACTAATACAAAATATTATTTGTTTATCCTAGGACTCTTACTCATATATATATATATATATATATATAAATTACTCAGCGCAGAAAAAAAAGGATATAGATAAATTATTATTTTTTTGGTAAACATATAGATAAATTATGAAACATTTAGGAGATGTTTTGTTACATCTCATGGTTGATTGGACAAGATTATCCAAATTGGATGCATGACACCTGAGGGCTTCATGGTCATTTAAGCACCTAAAGTAATCAATTAATGAAATCGCTAATTAAAATTAAGATTAAAACAATATAAGTTGAAAAATGAGAAAAATAGCAAATAAACGAGTAAAGGGCGTGCGGTAAAAATAGGATGACATGAAGGGCAAATCGATAATAACAAGGGGGCTAACCGGCCCAGGAGTTGTTGAATGGCACATCCTTTGATTTTCCTATAAAAATGGCAGCTTTTATCTGAAGATTCAAAACCCTCTCGTGTTTCCTGACAATCTCTGATCGGTTTCTCCGAAACAGAATAATCATTTTGAAAGGAAGAAGAATTACGAGAAGGAAGGGAAGAAAAAAGGAACAGCAATGGCGGATCAGCTTACTGATGAACAGATCTCTGAGTTCAAGGAGGCCTTCAGCTTGTTCGACAAAGATGGAGACGGTTCGTCTCTCTTTTTCTCGCTCTCTATCGCTCTTTCGTTATTTCAATTGACCTATGAATAATTTTATGTTTTGAGTTATTTCTAGACCTAGCTGTCTTCTGGAGGTGTTTGGCAAGCGGATGCTGGTTTGTGGTTTGGGAAATTAAATGGATTAATGAATTTGAAGAAGTTTTACCGTGCTTCTGGAGAATTGTTTGGTGGCGACGTTGAGATTTAGATCTTGCATGGTTTCGATTGTTGTTCTAAATTTCACGGACTAATTAGTCGATAATTCTGCGTATTACCGTTTTCTTTTCCATCCCCATTTGACGAGCATATTCAGAGTAGAAACAAATGAGAGAATTTTTTTTTTCTTTTTTTATGCGCAGAGTTGTTATAGATGATCTTCGATTTTACAGGAATAGTCTTGCTCAATTTTAAAATGCTCGTCTTGCCTTTAGAAATGAATGAATTGCTGTGTTAAAAGTTTACGCATCTGCATGTTGGGTTCTGTTTTGATTCTAAACAGGAGGTCAAAGAGTGGGAGGAAGAATAGGGGTCAATGAGGGGAAAAAGTTAGATTGCACTTTTTTCCATTGTTTGTGTCTCACATTCAGATCATGAACCCTGAAAGCAAGGGTAACTGACAGAATTAATTACTTGCTTTTGTATAAATCCTACTATTGACTTTTCCTTTTCCTTAGTAAAGAAGATAAGTAGCCATGTGATGCGATGATAGAATATAATGATAGCTTCCTTATGGTATGTGTTCCCCACCCCTACCCCCACCCCCACACCCCCCCTTTTTTTTTTAAAATGTCATTGTCTTCACATCTGTTGAAAATAAATCGAGATGAAGTGTAAATTGCAATCTGCAATTCGAGAAGAGAACTTAGAGCCCATGTATGCTGTTTTTATAAAATGCAAAACCATTTGACAGAAAGGCCTTCCCTTGCCAAAGTGGGAATGCTGCAGTTACACATCTGCATAGCATTATTTGCCAGAAAGTCTAAGCTTGCACTCTACTGAGAACCCATTCCTTCGCTAAAAATTCTTTTCCTCTTATATACTGTTATGTGTGCCAGTGTGTGCCAGAGAGTGTGTGTGTGTGTAAATTTACGCAGAGACGTTTGAGCGATTTTGTATTGTGGTATTTGACAATATGACACTAATGTCAAATTGATTGATAGCTTTTGTATTGTATAGTTGCGAACATGCCTCTCTGTCTTAGCCTCATTGAATTTTTGAAGCGGATTTTGATAGTGTGTGATCTCACCTTTCAGGTTGCATCACAACCAAGGAGCTTGGAACTGTTATGAGATCACTGGGGCAGAACCCAACTGAAGCAGAGCTCCAAGACATGATTAATGAAGTAGATGCCGACGGAAATGGTACTATTGACTTCCCAGAGTTTCTAAACCTTATGGCGAGGAAAATGAAGGATACAGATTCTGAGGAGGAGCTAAAAGAGGCATTTCGGGTTTTTGACAAAGATCAGAATGGATTCATTTCTGCTGCTGAGCTCCGCCATGTGATGACCAATCTTGGGGAGAAGCTTACTGATGAAGAAGTTGATGAGATGATTCGAGAGGCTGATGTTGATGGCGATGGCCAAATAAATTACGAGGAATTTGTTAAGGTGATGATGGCAAAGTGAACCCTAAATCTCCGCCAAGATCCTGATGAAAAACTATAACTGCGAAGAAGAGATAGAAGAAGGGGGACAGGGTTGACTTATATAATGATACTCTTAGACTTTGTACTTTTTTATTGTTAAATCTTTGTTTGATGGTTCTGAATCAAACCTCTGTGACATGTAGTGCTAAGCTAATTGTTTTGGTGGAATGGTATCTCCAGTTTGTCTTGTGATTGTGTCACAAGTTGATGGTTATTTCACTCTTATTTTCGGTTTGCCATGCCGGATAATTGCAACGTAAGGAAGTCGATGAATACGCTGTGTATGCATGAGATTGCAACAGCCTGCTAGATGCCCGGAAACCTGCCTCTTTTCTCCAATTAAAATTAAAATTATTCCCAATCGCGTATAAAGAATTTTTTTTTTCCTGGGAAAAAGCGTAAAACTCTAAAACAGATCAATTATAAAAAAATAATTAATAATTAATAATCTAGTAAATAATAAGGTAAAAGGATTTTTTTAAAAAAAATTATCTTACTGTACATTGATTACTTGGCACAAGGGTTAACAAATTGAGCGAATGGATTGGCCATACCACACAAATAGTCTAATCTCTAGGGATCTATAAATTTAGCTAAAAGATGGCCTGAGAGAGAAAGTGGTTGAACAGATTACCCAATCCCTCCTTTTTCTTTTTCTTTTTTAGTTTGGGTATACAACCCATCGGCCCAGCCCCTTCGTTAGCTAATTGTAACTTCTCCGAACCAACACAACACAGAAGCAAAGCAAATATTCACTTGGTTTTTTTTTGGGGGGGGGGGGGGAGGGATGGTTTACCACGACGCAATAGACCAGGAACAGAACAGTACAATTTCATCCATTATCTCATGGGAAGTACTCGTCAAAGTACACGCACTGTTACACCCGTCTTCCCTGGGCAGCCACATTCACGTTCCCCCCCTCCCCTTTCTTTCTATCAACTAGGCAACAAATAAAAAGTTCAAATATTGAACGGCATCATCACAATCTTTTCAAACTTTTCTTTCTGGCATCTATCTTCTTCTTGTCTGCCTGAACTTTTGCTGCTCCAGTTTCCTTCCTTTGTAATATTGGTGCAGCAGGAACTACCGTTGCAGTAGTAGACCCGTTAACAAGAGCATCCGTTGTTACAGTAGCTGCCTGTTCTAGATTGTTTCCTCCTCTCACTGTGGCGGCTGACTGACCCAATGGTGGCTGCAATGGCATTGCAGCACCCGATGCCGCATTTTTCACTTCACTATTAATTACTGAGGTGTTGATTTGATCAACATTCAGTGCAGTCGTTGACTCAGATATAGCTCCAGTTTTGAATTTGGGCTTGGGTTTTGCATGGATTCCAGTGTAAAGCCTATATGCAATGCAACCCCATTAAGTTTATTCGATTGCTAGCATATGAAGAAAAACAACCATGTTTATGTCATAAAAAGTAATGTTAACAGCTAAAATTGATAGTGTCCTTTTCATGATTATGAGCAATATGTCATCCAAAATCATTGTTCAGATTTCAAAATGAAGAAGCTGCAAATCAAGACCAACGATAGCTCAAGAAGTATAGCTTTAAAAAAAGATATATTGTATTTAATATGTCTACTGACCTAGCATGTCTCGCATACTCCTCGTAATTTTCAAGCAGCATTTTGCCAGCTTGCTCATTTAGAGCTGACTCTGGAAATGGTTCAATCAAAAGACACCTGACAACCTGTTTAAAAGAAAAATCAGCATTAAAATGAGAAACAATCATGTACAACCATATTTAATAAATCGATAAGATCTAGAGATGGCAGTGCTCAACTAGACATGCAAATTTAAACCGTGAAATTTTCATGACAAGAACAACCAACACAATAGACTTACAATAAGAACATGTCGCAAACCGAGGGTAGGATTCCAATCCTTCTTCAACGTGTTGACACAAATCTCTCCGTTGGTTGCAATGTTAGGATGGAAAATTTTAGTCAAGAAATAACCTACAATATTTTTAAATAGCTGCATCAGTTAACAGTATTCAAAAACGATAAAGAATGGATGGAATTATTTTAGGCAGGAAAAGTGAAGCAGTGACTACTGAGCAGAAATATCTCCTTGCCTTATATAAGAAACAGACACTATGAAAAAATAAAGTTCAATAAGTAAAAGAGAAAATAAAAAAATAAAATATAAATTTATATCAAGTCACTATTTATAAGCGGTGAACAATGCACCTCATTCTTCTGACTGCGTACAATGTACAGAGGCCCACTTAGATTTTCAAAACAAAAGAACTTCATCAACAATGTCAAGAGCAAATCATAAAAAGGCTCATATAACCGTCTAAACTCACCTTTAGGTGGAGAGTGTGGAAAGTCACGAGATAGTAACAACTTCATACGAAAAACTCCATTTTCATAAGGAGTCCCAGCTGCAAGTATAATTAACTCAAGTTCAGCTTGATTTCTTCACTTAATGCTGAAAAATAAACTTACAAAACAAAATTCCATGCCTGGGCCATCGATGTCAGCATATATTATTGAAAAATCATCATCATTTACAACAACTTTAATGCCCTCGGGAGGGGAATCATCAAGATTTTTCAATTCCTTGGCTAGTTGCTTTATTACATTTGGTGGAAGATTTTCATTGGTTGCCTGAAACAAAAATGCCACAATAAAATTTAAGGATAAGGAATATTGAAACAAACATTCCAATTATTGTCTACGAACTAGCAAGCAACACAATGGCATCATAGCTCCAAGGGTCATCAAATACTGTGTTAAGTTTAGTTAGCCTTACTTTAAGAATACTTCAACATCATTTCCATTCCAATTGTACAAATGAGATTATGATAAGCTATCAGCCTATTAGTACTTGTTATTATAAACCATTGTCAACAAGCACAAGTATATGAACAGATGATTAGTTGTTGAAGGCCAAGAGATATCCTGATTCCATAACAGGAGGCTAAACTCTCCAGAATAAATTTACTTGGCAAAAACCATGCCTGCAAGGTCAATAATTGCAAGTCTAGAGACAATAGCCAGCAATAATAAGAGAAATACTTACCATCTCCGCAAAAATGAAATTGCACCGGATGTTTTATTCAACTGCCAATTAAGGAGGGACAAGCCCTTTATCAAACAATGCACTGAATCTTCAAAATTTCTGCTCAAAGTGCGGGCAAAATTAGAACGGTGAAAGGGCCTGCAAAAATATTGCTGATTAATATGAGAAAATATACGGCTTGGCTTCAGCAAAAAGCTGCCGCAAATGAACTACCAAACGGTAAGAATTGTCAAATATTTAACATAATTGAAAAGAATATAACAAAGACAACAAGCATTGTATATATAACATGAAATCAAAGAGCAGAAAGAATATATTGACGCCCCAATTTAGCGTCACAATGCCCCTAAACAATAGTGCCAAAAAAAAAAATCACTTCATTTTATTTTGCCCAAGAGCACCAAGCGATATCTCCATATACATCAAACAAGACGAAACTGTCAATGACTTGACTAAATCGTTGCAGTCAGAAGAAGCTCATTCAATTCAATTATCTGCTTCTCCATACAAAATCCCACTAAGAGGACAGCTTAATCATCAACACAAACGCAAATACATGCACACATCACAGAATAAATAACTAGTAGCTTGAACATCAAATCTGCTTCAAATAGATTATAGAAAACGTAACCACCGCCCCCATCTTCACACCCACACACAAATATTACCAATTTACCGCTTAACTCAAATGTAATTCGTAAAACCCAGATGACTCGAAAAGTCTGCAAGAGCTATAAAAGCATTTTTTGTGCAGGCACACAAGCACAAAGATTTCCAGAACCTGATTTCATCCACCGCATATCATGCCATCTAAATAATCAACTTTCCCGATAAAAGAAGAAAGAAGATCAAATAAGAATTTGAAAAAGATACTTGCAGATCACCAATCGCATGGTAAAACCCTAATGCGCCACCCTATACCCAAGAATCTCGACATTCCTAACTGAGCAAGAAAGAAATCGGGCGCATGAACTTATAAATTAAAAAAAAAAAAATTGCCTCAGCGTATAGGAAAAGCATAGGCACACAGAGCACGATGTTTGGGAGGGGAAAAAAAAACTCTTAAGGAAGCATCAAAACCTCCACATGAACTCAGAAAGAGAACAATTTGCTCGAACAGTTCCACACAAGACGACGAGAATACATCACTGGAAAACCTAGATGGAAATTCACCTTATCAGAGGCTTTCGGGTGCGAAATTAAAGCCACAGAGAGAGGGAAGGGGGTGGGAAGGTGAGGGAAAGATTGTGAAACACAGAAGAAGAGTGTGTGAAAACAATGGCCTCGAATGATTGATGCGGTGGACTGAGGGGAGAAAATATATTTAATCTAACCAGATGAAACGGAAGCGCTAATAACAATTTAAAATAACATATTAATTAATTATTAATATCAATATCTTCATTAATTTTTAATCTATAAATGGAGTTTTGATTTGAAATGACGTGGGGCTAGCCCGATGCTGTGGATTTATGGACGTTGGATTCTCTATGTCTCGCAAGAAGACAGCTTCTCCACGCGCTCTAGGTGGCCGTGAAGCACACGTTGGATTCTGCCCGGCGCGAAGGAGAAACAAAGGCACACTTTAAACGTCGTAATGATTTGAAATTAAAGTTGTCTCTCCTTTTGCTCGTAATCCAATATCCATCCACCGTCTTTCTTTCAGGGCAAAACAAGGAAGGATGCTTGTAATTTACCAAAAAGCAATTATTTCTTAAATTTTGAATGAAAAACCACTGGAACGAAGTGGTTTCTGAGCCAGACTTGAAAGGCCCATTTCTCCTTGATGCAAATACAAAGAAAGAGACATTCAATGCCCCATAAACGACGATGGGAGAGAATCAGAATTCCGTAATTGCAAAATGGTGGCAGAGTTGTAAATTCTTATTGGGAAGGGGTAGTTTAGTCCAAGGAGGAAAAGTTGCTAGGATAATAAATTAAGAAGCAGGGGAGCGTCCCTTGGCTCGGAATTTGAGATTTGAAATGGAAATAATCAACCAAATAAATATGAAAAGGATACGTTAGGTGCCTGGTGAGATGAGGTGAGTGTCAGGACGTGCGACGAACTCTACCCAGGACCCACCCTCTATGTTTTGTACAGTAGTACTATTATTTTATAAAAAAATAACAAATAATAACCGTAAAACATGAAAAATTATAAATATGAATCCGTTATAACATTATTATTGGGTTTTAATAATAATAGTATAAGTTTTGATAATAATTTTTACGAACAGGTTCTTCTTTGTAATTTTTTAAATTTTATGGTCTATATTTGTGATTTTCTTTTATTTTATTGTTGCTAAATTTAAAATTAAAATATAAATATAAAAAGAATCTTATAATAAGTTTTTGAAGTAGAAAAAGAAAATAATAAAATTCATATTGCTTATTCCATTTTTTTTTTTTTGCTTGAATTTATTTATAAAATTAAAGCTGCAGCCAAGGCTACCAGTGGGTGTTGCGCTGGCGCGACCGTTGGGAGGTCCGCTTCTTGAAGGGTTCATTGGCGCTGGCAGGCGGCTGCGAGGCAACAACTTTTATCGTTACCATAAAATGTAATTTATTATTTAGCCATGCTATTTTAGAAGGAATATGTTCAGACCATATTTTAAATGATCTGCATCATTTATAATTTGTAAATAGTAGTAACGTATAATAATATTGTCATGTAAGATACCTTATCTTACTATCATACCTTTTTTTTTGACTGAACACATTCTACTGCCTCTCTTTCTTAATATAAGAGTCAGTTAACTAATTTGAACAAATTAAAAAAAATTAATTAAATTAGTTATTTATAATAAATGGGTATTGTCTTTCTTAAAATATTCTTACTAATCAAATATATTGGTTAGAACCACTATTATTATAAAGATATCTTTAAAAAATAAATAAATATAGGAGACAAAATGAATTGACATTTTATATTTAGGATCAAAATAAAAATCAAACAAACTTATATTAAGAACCAGAGGTAATATCATACTAAATATTGCGTTATCTCATAATTTAACAAATATTTATATTATTTTACTCTATTCTGTAATCGTAATGCGATCAATGTCAATATGTATGCATATAAATTTTATTAATCGCTAATTATAGATGTTTCCATTTTTTTGGGTGCAGCACATCTCACAAGTTAGCGCTATAGTTTTCCAAGGTGGCCCAAGCCCAAATTGATCCAATTCAGTTTGTTCTGGAAAACGTAAACCTGTTACTCTATCCTATCTTTTCCTCCTCCTTTTTTTTCCGACTCCCTCCTATCTTTTATATATATGTGTGTGTGTATATATATATTAGTTGTTGGTCCACTTTTATTTTTAGTCCAAATATAAAATTTTAATCCACCTTATCTTGGAAAAATAACTACCAACAAATCCCAATAACAAGTTAAAAGTGGTCATTTCTTACTTTAAAATTTGTCACTATATATTACTTAAGTTGTTGTATAAATTTTCTTTTAATAATTATATTCTTTTATTGAGATGTCATTGCAATTTTTCTCTTTATTTTTAAAATTTATTTTTTTAAAAATTATTCTTATTAATATGTAACCATCAATGACAAGTTTCAATCAGGTCTATGCTATTCACTTATTTGTGACATTTTTTTATAATTACATTTATTTTGGAGTGAGATCAATTAATGAATGGAAGGGATTAGAGGAGAAAGCGATACAAGTGGCTGCTGGAGCAGCGCAGTAGTGGTAGAAGTTAGCACGTGCAACACCATCCCGCTAAGTCAAATAACTTCGACGGAGGTAGGTAGTTAAATTCTCAATAAATATATGGAGGTAGGTGCCAGCAAGAAGGGATAAATAAAGTCTGCCCAAGGGAGCTGTACTCCGGCCAACCGGGAAGAAATCTGAAACAAAAGAGAGGCAAAGATGGAAGGTCAGAATGCAAGGAAGATGAAAATACTATGCCTCCATGGATTCAGGACCAGTGGCAGTTTCTTGAAGAAGCAAATCAGCAAGTGGGACCCTTCTCTTTTTGATCAATTTGAGCTGGTAATATGTCTTCCTTTTTCAGTCAGATTTCAAATCCTCTTTCTCATACAAAGAAACAGCCACAAGTAAGGCAGAGATTTAGAAGAATATCAATCAAACTGTTGATCATGACAGGTTTTTCCGGACGGTAAATTTCCCGCTGGAGGAAAGTCTGACATTGAAGGCATATTCCCTCCACCTTACTTTGAGTGGTTTCAATTCAACAAGGTATGAAGTTTCCAGCTCATACTCCTATGAATAGATTTATTCCCATAAAAAGAAAGAACTAAGCTGCTCAACACACATTATTTAGGACTTTACGGAGTACACTAACTTGGAGGAGTGCATCTCATACCTTTGCGAATACATCACAACCAATGGCCCCTTTGATGGGCTTCTTGGCTTCTCCCAGGTACGCATCCATGCTTGCTCCTTAATTCAAAGCTTGTTCAGATTAAAGTTGAATTTATTTTGCTAGCGCTGACCGGCCGTATAGATGCTAAAACCTTTGGTACAAAGACATGAAGAGCGAATAGTCTCAAGGTTAATGATACATAGAAAACAGAATATCATGTTATACTGGTCCAAATATCATTCTGAGTTTCTGACGAATTAACACAATGTTTTCACAAGCCATCTCGAGTTTCAACTCCACATTTACTTCTTTCTTTCTCATTTGGACGGGGAGGGGCCCCACACGCCCCTTACCCACACACCCATATTTACTGATTTTACCTTAGCTAACGGAAAGACATGATTTCTCCTTGTGTGTTTATCTGTAACCCAGGGTGCAACACTTTCGGCACTTCTGATGGGTTACCAAGCACAGGCAAGTAGTTAGTTATTGTAATTTGATCTTATAATGAATACTGAATTATACCATACTGAAGGAGAAACATGGGGTTTACAGGGGAAGTTGCTAAAGGAGCATCCGCCCATGAAATTATTCGTATCAATATCAGGATCAAAGTTCAGAGATCCGAGCATTTGTGATGTTGCCTACAAGGACACCATCAAGGTTAAATCTGTCCACTTCATTGGGGAAAAAGACTGGTTGAAACTGCCTTCAGAAGAACTAGCCACGGCTTTTGACAATTCCCTTATAATAAGGCACCCTCAAGGTCACACCGTGCCGAGATTAGGTCTTCTCTCTCCCCTCCTTTTCTCCATACGCAGAAAAAATCTGTTATCTAAACTAGTCAACAAATTTACCTTGCATTGTATTGCATGCAGATGAAGTGGCCACCACTCAGTTGCGAAATTGGATCAAAGAAGTGTTCCATTCCACCTGTGGTGTGTCAGATGGAACTCACGAAAAAATCAATGGAGAAAAGATATTGGAAGTGAAGGACAGCAAGCTTGAAGAAGCAATTAGTGCCAGTCAGGTTTGAAGCAAGGGAATGGATTAATAAGATGAAGTTGTAGAGGTAACCCAAGTCTGAACATCTGAATTACCAGGACCAGGGCTTCACAGCTTTAGCACAAATGATCATTAAAAATTGATCGTATTAATAGAGTGGAGGGGAATGCTTTATACCTCTGGTAGATATTCTCAGCTTCACATAACTAGGTGAATTCAAATTAATGAATGTTTCAAGAAAAATTACCTTCACTGTGATATTAAATACGAGTTACAAGTTGAGTTTCGCAAGATAGAATTACCTAGGGAACGAGACGCCCATTTAATTAACCCTGGCTAATAGTTTGATAGAGGCATTTTTCCGTCAAAAAAAAAAAAGATCGAGGCATTTAAGTTGCGTGCTCCATTTGTTAACAGCGACTTTTTTTTTCCATGCCTTTCGACCTGAAGTCCTGCATCACATGCTTTTAATGTAAATAAAAATGTCAGGATTTATTTAAAAAATGTATAAAGGATAATGTCATTACAATATAAATTAATTGGAAGAAGGCTTATCTATCCGAGCGTTCTAAATTTCTAATAGCCGGTTCACTTGATCAATATATCCTTGAACTCTGACGTCCAAAATTAGAGAGACCAATAGTTGCTCAACATCATGCTCCGAGATCCTTGAGCTCCTGTGAATGAATGCGTTTAATAAAATATACAAATTGGACTAAACATAACTCAAGCGCCCAATTCGACATGTAAATCTGCAAGTTAGGGAAGGGGGGAATGCATTGACTTTTTAAGTTGACCATGTGAAGAATACTACCAAAGTATTTAGTGACCTATCCCATGCAACCAAGTACGGCGAAAAAGCAGCCAGAGTCCAGAAGATAATGTTCAGCTTGTTTTCTCCGCAATGGGCAAATAGTTCCATAATGCCCCCTTATCTATTCAACCTCTTCAACTGACAGGAGGGCATTACTTACACCGTCCAGACAGACGCAATCATTATCCTCGCACAAAGTTTGCTGAGCTTCACTGAGACGTGATTTCTAAAATTCTTTAGCAGATCTCCAACGTAATTTCTAACAAATGGATCATAGCGGCTCTTCTGTTACTCTGGAAAGTTATGTTCGGAAAATAAACATTTACATAATAATATGAGGACAAATTGGCGCATGAGAATCTTGTGCCACCCTCAGGTGCTTTACCTTTAGAATTTTCTCAAATTCCAATATCTCATTCCACTGATAGGCTGCTCTTTAATTTGTCCCTCCCAAAATTTCCGGGCCATTTTTGTATCTGAGCACACACAACTCAAGAAAGGCAAAATCAGAAGAAAAATGAAAAAGACGAATACCCTAAATTAGGCTGCAAACGACTTACGGTTTTGCTTCTTGTTCATCAAAGGGATTGACCTCATACTCCATCAGCATGTCAGCAAAAACTAGGCACCTGACACGTAAAATAAGAATAATGGGTATAAGATGTTAAAACAAACAAAGACTGCTACAATGTTTCATTTCAGTTGACGGAGAGATTTTTTTTTTTGTTTGGGGGGGGGGGGGGGGGGGGTGCTAATTGATGGACGCTGAGGTAATAGGATGCCTAAATCTCAAATTTATTATAGTGTGCTCGATAAGATATTCAAGTGGTGGATTGGTTCTCATACATCAGTAGTTCCCTTTTGAAGGAGGACGTGCCATTCTGTTTGAGTGCCCATAAACATGTATAAAAAATCATGTTAATGTTAGTCGTTAATCTCTTCAATTCTTACCGGTCAGCCTTCTCTTCTTCCATGCGCACTACCTCAGAAGACCCAGCAAGTGCACCTTCTGGATCAGTTTCAACCAAACCTGTATATCATCTAAATGATTCTCAATATGAACATCCTGCCCCTATTGTTCTTCGTCTGAGTACTCAAATCCAAGGCCCTCCACATCAGCATATACATAATAAAACAAAGGAGTATGCGATTTCTTTATGCCAATTGAAGATGCTAAAAAAACAACGAATATGACAATATTTTTCAGAACAGAGTACTTGAAAAAAGACAAAGCAGTGGTCCGTCATAAAAATCCTAAAGGTACACATGTAGATGCTTAATCTATCAGGTCCTCCGTTTCATTATGCACCAGCAATGACGTTAATGTATTGGAAATGTGGAACATCTTGCTTAAGGACCTGAAAGTTTCTCCAAGAAAATTTCACGAAAGAAAACTTTCGGAACAGAAGATTCCTAGAAACAAGCCCAGCATTGTCAATCGCTGATGCACAGGCAAATAATAGCACCACAGATGAGAAGATCAATTGTGTGACGTTATAAAGATCTTCAACATCAGTTCGAATTCCCACCGTAACAATAATGCAAATGATCACAAGAAGACATAAATTACGTCAAATCCAACCAGAGAGGAAAAAGAAAAACAGGATAAAAGCTGAACAAGAAACCACAAAAAATCATCAAGACGGCACAAAATAAAGAGCACACGCTCCTCCAAAATCGGAAAACAAGAAGGGAGTGCATACCAGAAGCCATGTGGAATAGAATCGATTAATCATCCAAGTAAGGGTTGGTTCAATCGTTATTGAGAGTGAGAGTCCTCAGGCCCACAGGACTTGTTCTACAATCACTCACACGGAACTCAGCATTCAGTGAAGGTGTGAGTTAGGAGATGAAAGAAGAAGAGGGAACAAAAATGCTGGCCTTGCCTCGAACTCAAGCTCATGCCTTGGAATGCTTATCAATTAGCCCAAAACCCAATATCAACAACTTGTTGGGCTGGTTAAAATGCGTACCAAACTCAGGGTTGGTTCCAAGAAAGTTTCCTGCAACTGTAAGGCCACTCATAAGCAACTATCAGGATGATGAGTTTTGATCTCATAACCAGCTCTATCTTCTTTTTTTCGAATCTCTTTTCATCCCTTCTGGTTTAGAAGCGGGGGATGGAGGAAATGGGATTACACCCCTAGAATTGAGACAAAACTATACCGTGATATAATCATGAAGTTATAACTACACATTATTTCACCTCATTCAAACATGCGAGGAAAATATTTCAGTAATACCTGAAGACAAATTGTCATTCTTTTCAGTTTATCAGCTATAGACGCTTCTCTAAATGACTTTGGCAAGTAATAGGAGACGAAAGCTTTTAAATATCAGTTCCACATTAAGATTGTAGTTAATTTTGCTATTGTTCCTTGGTGACAACATTGTTTCCTTTTGCAAACAAGCCTACATATGAAATCTTAAGCCAAAATCCCATAATGCCAATCCAAGAAGGACTTCTAAAATCCAAAGTTGATTGTATCAAAGAAAGAAATCCAAAGTTGAGATTTGCATGCTATGAGGAGCCATACAAGTAAAAGGTTCTGCACTTTCTTTGTACAAATGTGCATGCACCTCTAATGTGAAGTTAAATTAAATGATGAAAAACCCGTTGTACAGTGCTATTGCATTTTTGGGTTTGAAGATGAAAGTAAGATCATATGCATCAATCCTATAATGTTGAACAAGAAAATGAGATTAAGAAATCCCCACGGCTTAGTAGTAGATGGAGCTTACTATTTGACATCAAGCCCCCCTAGTCATGTTGGATAATTAGTTGAAATCCATCTTGTTCTAGTGGATGTGATTTCTTCCCTAGGGATGCGTGAAATTCCAATTATCCCACGTGTCTAGACAACTTTAATATTAGCGTCCAATGGGATATCAACCCTGCAAACATTATCATATTCAAAAAAGCAACCTGGACTAAATATTAAATAACATGCATCCATGCAAGAAATATAAACAATATGTCTAGGCCAGGAGAAGGGCACTACCAAGTCACACATCATTGTGTTCTTATATTTTTCCCATCTTCATTTATTCATTTTCCAAGGCAACAAATTGGTTATAAGATAGCATAGGAATAGGATCCTAATTTCTATAATCACATTTTAGCCACTTAAAATTAACAGTAAAGACAGAGTTCCCAGACCAAATTTTAGATTTAAAAAATGCAGGAAGATTTTTTTAAAATATTTGTGTATAAGTGAAATACATGTTAAAGCAAAATGGAGGAAATCATACAAATCAGGACTTCAATCTCAAAGATCCCATAATCTGCTAGGTTTACAAATCAATTCTAAGTGTAATCATTTTATCATGAGCTAAATGTAAATGTTGTATTTTGACTTTAGTGTTTCCACCATTTGAGGAAGGGAATTGGAGGAAGGGGCAATTTCTTCAACTAGTTTTTGACTTTTTGCGAGAGAGAAATATAGTACATCAAAACAAAATGGAGGGAGCAATAAAAAACATAAAGATACCAATCTCATTCATACCCTACATTAGATGCATATCAGAGTGCTTACATTGGCCTTCCCTCCCAAACCGACTTCTATTAGAAGCAGCATCAACCTATAAATAGGATTCCTTTGAAGCATTTTCACAAAACATTAGCATGGGAGAATAAGGGGAAAAAAGGGAAGTTAAAGGTGCCTTTCCTAACATAAATTATATATGATAGCTGACAACAATTAAAGCGTCTTTATAAATGCAACTACCACTATAAAAAAGATAAGGCATATTAGAACATAACGTTTTGCATCTTCACACATATAACAAACCCTATTTTCAACAATGAACAATTGTTGCATTAAGTGGAAGAGACGTGACACTCCTTAATGAGGTTTAAAGTTCAAGCTAAGTAGAAGAAAAGAAGCATACCGAGAAAGCTACACCTTTTTAGGAAACAATACTCAAATATGAAATGGTCAATAGTACTTGACACTAATAATTGTCACAATTCATGTTTAAAACCTCAAAGTAACGCCCAATTCTTACAATAAAATGATTGTACTTCAATGAGAAATCATAAAAGGCATACACTATTAAAAAATATATATAAAATAAGATGGAATCCCACATCAAATGTTCATGGACTTTATCTGCCTCCAACATTATAACTTTCCAAGTTAGGGGGGAGAAAACTCAAGCCCTGACATTGAGTGGTCCAAATCCTTCAGTGTAGTGAAAGAGAGGCAACAAGACATGAAAAGTCAAACAAAGGAAAAGACGATGTGCTTGAAAGGTGTGCTAACCCCGTCAATAACCATAGTGTCCGTATGCCCAATGAAGTACTCTATAAACAAGGGAGGTAGAGTCCTATGAGAAATTTGGGAAATGACAGCAAAGGAACTCACAGATCTCGAAACCCTGTTTGCAATTTAAGAATTGCCTCAGGATTACATGGTAATCTGTGAAAAACTGGAAGGATACTCCTTAGCCAGTCATTACGTCTCCTTTGTTCAAATAGAATTAATCAGTTCATCGCCTACTTGAATGGTCATTATCCCAAATTAAACGCAGAACCCTTGACCTCCACCAGTCATAGACTAATCATTACCTCAACGAACAGTAGGTTCTTAGACAAAGATAGGATCACCTAACACGCTCACATCTTTCCATTTGCCTTGAATTTCACAATAAGATGCCGCTAGTTCGCTATGACCTCTTCAAAAACTTAATCCACTCAATGCCATGAAATGCATTAACCCCTCCCCAATACAAAAAGACTAAAGGTCCAAGTAACACCTAATACTTGCAATGAAGCCATTGGCACTTCAATGATGTTTGTTCCTTGCACCCCATAAGTGTTAAAGCTAGCATCATACAACATCTAATTTTCCATGAGTAGATTATCATAACGAGCTAATGTGGCTATATCATACCATCTTATACTCTTCAAAAGTATCTTCAAGTATTAACTAAGATATATATAAACTAGAAAAAGAATTTGACGGTTATTAGACATATAAACCTTTTTTGGGTGACGACATGAAGCATATGAAGAACATATAAAGCATTCAATTTTACTGTTAATAGCATCCAACTGGAGCCTTGTAGGAGCAGCTAAAATCCTTACACACAGCCAAAATACAACAGAGGCTGGCTTATGAACAAGACAGCCACACACACACACACACACACAAAACCAACAACAACAGCAACAAGAAGCATACCACAGATCAGAAGAGACCAGAAATCATAAATGGGCAAATATGGATAAGCATCAAAAATAGAAAAAAGAAAGACTCTGTAGTCATCTCTCCTCAAAAGTTTAATTTTTTAATGTATCTTTGTTATTAGCTTCTATTGAGTTCTTTTTTTGTTTTTTTGGCAGAATGATCCCGTATACCATTTTCTTTTTGGTAGGAAAAAATCCGAAATTCCCCATGACATGCTTAATCTGAAATTAAGGAAATCCGCAGCAACTAATACATGAATTCCCCATGTCAGTGAGAACAACTGATATACACAGTACGAGAAGTTCTGGTCAGTATTTAACAAGGAATATCGATGCAAAGAAGATTAATACCAGAAGCCCCTCTTTTGTGTACAAAGTAACGCACGTACAACCTCCCAACAACCAAATAAAGACTCCCGAAAAGTATGCCCATGGACCAGGATGAATTTAAAGAAAGCCAGATGAAAATGGAGAAAGCAAACGTTATTTAACCATACAAGTGAAGATAAGCACCTAAAACTAGCAACGATGAGCTGAAGCACGTACTATTGCAGTCTAAGTTGTGGGAAAACCAAAGGAATTTCAACTTTACCTCTTTATAGTTCCATAACCATGACTACCCACGACCAGCAGTGAAGCATGATGTCTTTCTACAGCATCGCAGAGAACATTCCTCACATCACCTTCCACTACTTCCACTGCAACATCATTCAACCGGGCGAAGATAGGTAATCAGATAATTATGGCACAATTTTTGCACACCTATCTAGAAAGCATTGAGACTTGAGAGTTCTCAACATCAGAATTTAGCACTGTAGCCTGACATTATAATCTAAACATATGAACAGAGAAAAGCACAAAAGGCCACACGCTAAAAAGAACGACCATGTGCAGCATAGCATGACTGCGAAATACGAATACAACGCCATAAACAGTCGATAAAATTTCACTTTCCCTGCTCCACAAGAGTCGGCAGGCACACACCAAACAAAGAATTTAAATACCCATCCCCCTATTATCGGTCTGTGAATGAATTCGTTCATTCGATTTCATTTCTGTTTCCTACAACAGGTTACATTGGAACTAAGAGGCTGGCATCATTACTTTTAAGCGTCAGTGGGTAATCAAAAGAGACCAAACCATACCGAACAATGAGCCAGACAATGTGCACCAAAAGAAGCGCCTGACCCGGAAGAGAGACCGAACTCCCGCTGCCCACTTCACAAAATCCCGATTGGGTTCTGTAAAGTGCTTCTGGACCGACACCATTTGCGCCGGCGACGGTATCACCAACTGGCGTGGCTGCGCCGAAGCTGTCTTCGCGGGCATAGGACGGGTACAACACAGTTGTTTTCGAGACTTGCAGGGGAAGTAGACGAAAGACCAAATCCAAGACGAAGGAGAAGGCTCTGGTTTTGGAAGCACCGTGCTCTCACGGGAAAGAAGCGAGAAGTGGGGAAGAGAGGGAAAGAGGGGAAGGATAGGGCATGTGATCACCCAAAAAAAGCTTACAGATAGGACTCACATCAGAGAAAGGGCGGGAGCGGAGGCGAGGGCAGGAATTTGGTAGTAAACCTAGTGCGAAACTGTCGGCGCGCAAAAGTGATTGGCGCGCCATGCCGAGGCCAGGATTTCAATTAGCCATGCCTTCCCTATTTTTTGCCCGTTGGAATCCGGCGCGGGGTCTCTCCATTTCTTTTACATCCATTTTCCTCCACTTCTCTAATCTTGACCTTTTATATAATCTGCGGCTAAAAAAATGCAAAAAAACATGACATTTAATACCTTTGTATCACACCCTATAAAACTCCCTCCCTTCCCCCACGCTTTCTGTCTCTATTCTTTTTTTTTTTTCTTTCTCTTACTCTCTCTTGGCCGGGTTTTTAGTTTATTATTTATAAAAAGGTTCTAAACCTGGGTTTTAAACACTATTACTCTATTTTTATTTATAAATCAATTGTAAAGAAAAAGATTGTTCCTAAATATAAGTCACTTATTAAGTAATTAATAATTTTTTTTTAATTTTGTCCTATTGACTTAATAAATACAAAGAGTAATAAAGTGAATAGGTGATAAACATATTTTTAATACCTTTTTTAATAAGGCAAATGTGAAAAAAAATTATAAATTTAATGCATCTCTTGATTTACAAGTTTGGAATACAAGTGACTTATAAATAGAGATAAAATGGTATAATTTTTAAAGTGCAGGACAACATATTAATTTATTTATCACTTTCTGAAAATATTGCATTAGTCCACTTTGTTTTTTCTGAGCAACACGCCAATACCATAAAAACAATAAAAATTGTTATCTTAAAAAAATTGTCATTATTCTAAACTTAAGAAACAAAACAAGTAAACAACAATTTTATACCGCCTTCTTTTAACTGATTTTTTATACTATCTTAATTGAATGTCGTGCAACTTTTTTATAGTTTTATCCTTTTTTTGTGTAAAATTTTTATTATTCTAATTTTTACCTATAATTAATAATATGGAGTGAGAATGTAGAGAGAGAACAAGAGAAGAAGATTAAAAGGGAGGAGAGAGTAGAAAGTGAGTGCACAAAAAAAAAAAAAGAAATGGAAAAGAGAGAGTTTTATAGGGTGTGATGTCAAGATATGAAATGCCATGTGCCTTTGCTTTTTTTTAGCCGTAGATTAAATGAAAGGTGAGGATTAGGGAAATGGAGGGAAATGGAGGAAAAAAGAAATGGAGAGGCCCTGTGCCGGTTGGAATCAACCGACTGAATTAAATGGGTTTTTTTTTTAAAATGACAAAATTTGTTACTCTTTTGATCTTAAAAATAAAATCTATTTATTATGTAATTATACTATAAAATGAGTCTCATTTTATAAGATAAATTTTGGCCCAAAAAAAAAATTTATAAGATAAATTACACTACAAAATAGATTTATATTTAGAACAAAAAGAATATTATTTACAATATTATCAATACCAAATAAAATATTATTAACAGACCTCATTTGATATTTAATAATTTTGGACTTCTTTCTTTTGTCATTTTTCCTTTTTTTTGCCGCCTAAAAAGAAGAATATTTCTTGAATATCAAGAAATATGGAAGAAGTTTAAATTTCGTTGAATAAATATGAAATTAAAAAAATTTATTTATTTTCATCTATTTTTCTTTTTATTAAAACCTTTTAATCCGAGTAAATTGAAAACTTCAGTGGCACCCTAATGTAATGTCAAATAATAAAAATTTATTCCATTATCATCATATATTTTTGGCACACGTGATGAAAAATATTTTTAAAATTGTGAAAAAAGCTTTTGTCACAAATTTTTGCGGTTGAGATGTTTGACAAATGGAGTAATAACAATGCAGAAAGGAGAATTCCATTTCGCCTTATAACTACACATGGGAAAAAGCTTTTATTACATCCATTACAAAGGAAGCTTTTTTTAGAGTGAGCGGAGCATTATTTCTTTTTCGCCGTCAAGACATGGATATTACATACATTTTTGAAAAAATTGTTAAAAAATTTAAAATTGAAAAATTGCATAGAGGGATCTGTTGACAAAATTACTAATTCTTATCGATTGTTATCAAAACTAATACTCATATTATAACGTGTTCTTATTTTTAATTTTTTATTTCTAATTTTGTTGTCATGTTTTCTTTTTTCTCTTAACCAACAATACATATACATATATGCATCAAAGCTTTTTTGAAATGTTATACTCATCCAGTTTTAAATATAAGACTTATTTTTTTAGTACAAATTACATTACAAAATAATCCTTATATTAAAAAGCAGTAATTAATATTCTCTTTCCTGTTTACCGCTTTCTTAGTTTTTTGATCACATTTTTGTTCACCGCGAAAATACAGCTCCCCGTAAAATAGCCAAAGTCGTTCATTAATTTAGTTGATTGGGTGAGAAAAATTACAACGAAGTCTCTTGAGAAGATGATATGATAAACTATTTAAATTGAAAAAACATAATGTCTAATATATATAATTTTACGCATATACTATTCTGCATAAGTAATTAACATCTTAGTTGATTTTATTTTTCTACATTTCTAAATATTTTTTTTTTAAAAATTTATCAAATTTTATTGACATGTCAATTTAATCAATAATTCATGCTTTTCCACCGCCATCATGGTTAACTCTCTTTTGCGACCACCACAAACGACCTCCGGATCCTTCCTTAGCCTCCGAAACTCCACACAAACCTATTTCCACATCTGAGGAGAGAGAGTCTGCAAGCGAGACTCAACGTCCTATCCTCTTGTCTTGATAAGAATGGGACTCGAAAAATCCAGTTGTTAAACTTTTCTTGTGTTCGTTTTTTGTTTTTTTGGTTTTTGGTATGGTGTGCAGTGCGTGCTATGGAAACTATCTCGTTAATACAAGCCCGGCTTGTCAATCGCTGATGCACGTGCAAATAATAGCACCACAAATGAGAAGATCAGTTATGCGACGTTATAAGGGTCTTTAATATCAATTCGAATTCCCAACCATAACAATGATGCAAATGATCACAACAAGACGTAAATTACCTCAAATCCAACAAGAAAGAAAAAGGAAAAACAGGATAAAAGCCAAACAAGCTAGGAACAACAGAAAATCATCAAGACATCACGAAACAAAGAGGACACGCTCCTCCAAATTGGGAAACAAGAAGGGAGTGCATACGCAATGTGGAAAAGAATCGATTAACCATCCAAGTTAGGGTTGGTTCGATAGCATTCAGTGAAGGCATGAGTCACAGGAGACCGGAAAAAAAAAAAAAAAAAAGAGTGGCAAAGGCACTATTTGGAATTATGATTGAAGTACATTTTACGTTAGTTAAGATAAAATTTTCTTATATATTTACTTCATAAATAAAAAACTATTTCTAAACTACTTCAAACAGACCCCAAAAATGATGGTTTTGCCTCGAACTCAAGCTCGCACGCTGGAATGCTTATCAATTAGTCCAAACCCCAGCAGCAACAACTTGTTGGGCTGGTCAAGATGCGTGCCAAACTTAACTTAGTGCTTAACGTGAGGCTTGAAGTGAACCTACTCTACTACTCCAGGTCCAGTTTAATTATTGCTGGAAAAAAAGGTCCAGTTTAATTATTACACGCAGACTAAAATAGTAACTAGACATTATTGAAAATGTAAACTAAATAAATCATGATAGATTAACTGTTGATCATATTTGTTTGCGTAGATGGATAAAATAGAGAAACGGTAAAGAGAATGAATATTATTAAATTAAATTGTATTTTGGAGTAAAGTCAGGAAAAAATCACATATACTATGAGTTGGAGAATACATAAACGGACATGATGCTTGGTTAAAAAAAATACTCCATAAAAATAGGGAATGGTCAATTAATTACAATTCAATAAGAGCGTAACTACGTACACAAGGGATAGATGAAAGAGGTTAATTAGGGACTATAAGCCTAGGGCATGCTCCCGCCGTGCTATGTATTTGAAAATGAAGCTGATATGTTAGGTCAGTTATAAATAGGGCAGCCAGCAAGCGAAAGAGAGGCTATATAAATAGAGGGCTTTCCAACGTCAAAACACAAACACACATACGTCCTATATAATATGCAACAACCAACGTGACATGGCTTCCCTTAACCTTACTACTCTTTTCCTGCTTTCTCTGGTGCTGATGCTTCCTGCGGCGTCACTGGGCCAAGTCCTTGGCATTAATTTCGGGCTCATGCTGGTTTGTCTGTCCCGGGGATAGGCCTGAACGCCACCGTAAGGCCGAACGCAAACGCAAACGTGAGCGTGATGTGTGGGGACACGATCATCGCAAACGGAACCACGAACGCTCAGGGAAGATCTAGTTTGACAGTCCAAGTGCAGCCTGGTATCATTGCACGTTTACAAGGGGGCCAGTGTGCCGTGGCCACACAACTTCATATCGCCTGAGCATCGTTCTTCGTCTCATATATGCCTGCCGCCTTCTATATATATATGAACCATATTTATGAATAAAATGAAATGCTCTTCAATGCTACGCCATATCTATTATTGTTGTGGCGCTTCTATTACCCTGTATCTCTAATTATAGGCAATAAGTGGGTTTCATGCATGCATGCGTCTGCATGCCAATGCCGCCACCTTTTGTACGTGTGTTACAATAATAAGATATCATCATATATAGATATACATGTTTAGTATTGTTGCTACGTACTCATCGCTGCTTTGAAATGGTATCCCAAAATAATAGTCCAGATTTCGAAATCCACTA